GAACAGATTTTTGGAGGGGGTCTCAAGAGATTGTTGGGAGTGAAGAACAGGAATTGATGGAGGTGCTTTCCTCATGGATTTTAGGATTCAGCCAAGTGGATCCTTACCATGAAACATGTCAGTAGCATTTGCCTTTGTAGGAGAAGCTTATGGCACAATTGTGCTGAACCACACAGTGGATAATGTTAAGCTATATGGCCAGGAAAAGGGGTATGAAAGTTTAAAAAAAGGATGCCCATACTATGGCAAATAGAGACCAGTTATTTCAGTATTTTTACTGTCCAATGTTAAAATATTATTTCTCTGCCAGTTTATTTAGGTACTAAGAACTATATGCTTTCATTGCATAATTAAGACATTGCAAAGTGGTTGAACAATCACTTTTCTTCCTCTTTCTTTCATTCCTCAGAATCCCTCTCCCATGACAATGACAATCTACACCTATAAACAGTCACTCATTCTGCAGATTTCTGATAATCAGATTTCCTGTGATATGGACACATGTGAAATATTAAAGAAAGTCATAGGTTGACGATGTTACATTGAATCCCAGCAGCAAATCCATATGATCAAAACTCGGCCCCCTGCCTGAAACCCGGGAAAGCCATTGCCAGTCAATGTAAACAACCCACCTAGATGGGCTGATTCAGACAAGAGCGAGGTGGGCAGATCATTGTTTCTGCACTTGTTGGACTCATTATAAGGCAGTTTCCTATGTAAATGCAGTGTTGGCCTAGCACTGAGTAAGGATGCAGTCCTAATCCTACTTATATGGGGGTAAGCCCCATTCATTTCAATCTCACCCTACTTTGCGTTTTACTTTGTAGATGCTGTTTGGTTCTCAGTCAAATGAGTTGGTTGCTGGATTCGCGAGTTGCTTTGAAAGTAATAAAGGCTACATTAATTACAGCTTCTCCTTAATTATTTCTTCGAACAATATAATTCTATTTCATTGAATACACAACTCATATAAATTATCCCAGGTACAAGGTGCATCTTGCATTGCAAAGGCAAGAAGAAAGATCTTAAGGTTGAATTTTAGTTTGTATATGATCCAAGTCATGAAGAATTGGAGGAGATACAATGATGTATCAATTAGTATTTCTAAACTTTACTGTTGTTCCAAGAGGATGTACATAATGATTACAATCCAGAATGGTTGTACACAGGAACACAAGAAGCTGCCTTATACCAAGTCAGACCATATTCTATCTAGCTCAGTGTTACCAACACTGACCAGCAACTCAGGGTTTCAGATGGGGGTCTCTCCCAGTCTTAATTGGAGATGTTGGGGACTGAACCTAAGAGGGACCTTCTGCATGCACAGCAGATGCTCTACCACTGAACTACTGAGCTGCTGGGGCACTCATGTAGAAATGATAAAATATATTAGCTGATGCTCTGCTAATATTTACGTTCATTGTGTGAAACCACTGGCTTGTATCCATTGGCCTCAGGTCTATGCAGACTCCTAAGGACTGGACTTGCCATTCTTTAGTGGTTTAGACCACTAAACTTGAGCAAATATGGTATCAGTATAAAACAATAGAACAAATAATGCAAATTAAACACAGTTCCCCCAAAGAAATCTGTGAGTCAACCCATTCTTCTAGGGAACAGAGACAGGAGTTTTTAGCATCTGATGAAATGTGTATAATGTTGAGGCCTGCCTAACTTCAATAGACAGCGTATATGTGGATTATACTTTCTGGTCGTTTTTGGATTCTTGTTCATGTTGTGCTTGGTTTATTCATATTATTTCTTTTTAGCAAACAACAACAATGGCAACAAAACCAACAATGGCTGCTTGGTTTTTCTTGCTCAGAGCCACAGTGCTTTCCGCTGACCAAAATGCTCAGCACTATTGAGTGCCTTGTTTCTTGTAGCATCTTCCCCATTGCCAGCCTTGACATTTATTCCTCCCTCACAAACATTAATGGGAGATGCCTTGAGCAGCCTGTTATATTTAAAATCCTTCAATCAACTGGTTTCCTGGATGCATTTCAGCAACTGAGGAGGTCAGAGATGTGTTGAGTTGAAGTAAAAAGTATGGGGAAGCAGGAAGTGAGAGTGAAGTCATTATCGGAATCATTTGCAAGCACTATGGAAACATCTTCCACCTGAGTTATTTTTGTGCATCTGTTTTAAGAATGGCTTACATTTAGCCAGTCTAAAGTTGCCGTTGATTTAATTACAAATTAACTTGTCAATGCAAGTTTCCTCCATGGGCTGCAGGCTGAATCCACCAAAGATTATGGAATACTGCCAGCAGAACCTGACTCTTCATGCTCAATGGTTCTTATGCCACTGTGCAGAGAATGCCCGATCCCATCCCTATGTGTGGCATTCTTTGGGTTGTTATGGGCCACGGAAACCATAGAAGCAGATTCTATAACATAATGGATGGAGGGACAGGCATTTACCAGCAACAAAGCCATACTTTAGTTGCCCTTGGTTCATATTTCTGCTTCCGATATTGCCATATGAACCAAATCCCAGAATCAGACTGCCCATGGAAACAGGTCTTTTTAATGGCACCTTTCACATGGGTGTACTGTGCCTGAAGGATGTTACTCAACCTTGACTGAAATCAGTACAAATAATTAAGAAATCTACTGGTGACATAATTTGCCTTCACAGCAAATTAAATTATGCAACTAAAAAATGCAGATGTATTTAATTAGTGTTATTTATTCTAAGATGGTTGGTTTCTGCACACATCTCTGCTCATAGACTGCCAGTATATATTAGCAGAATAGGTAGCATGTAAAGGATTCTACCCAATTTTCATTTTGACTATCAGAGAGTTGCCAGTTGTTATGTGCTAATCTGTTAGTTCTGCCTGCACAGCCTGAAGTGGTTCAGTCCAAGCTTTACCACTGGATTCTGAGGTAAATGAGCTCACATCCATAAATTCTGTAACTAAGAGTATAGAATGCATATCAGCCTGTCTGGCTGGAATGTCTCTAGCTGACAGACACAAATGCTTAAGTTAAAGTGAAAGACAGCTCAGAAATGAGTAGCACTGTTCATATGGAAGTATTTGGTTGGGTTGTTCTGCTATTATTATCCACTTCCTTCCAGTAATTTGGAGTCTTGTTGACAATCCAATTTATTGAGTAATTTGTGACACGGTCCACATTTGTTTGGGCTTCATTCTTTCTGTCTAATATCTCTTGTAACCCTAATCCAGCCAATAGGTTTTTCCCAGAGTTTTGATTCATGAAGCAAAAGGTGATTGATGGTTTCTGCTGAGCTATTCTTATGTACAGTGCAAATTTATTATACTGCCGATTGGTGTACAAGGGAAACATTACATTCTCTGTCACCTTGTAAAGGTCTCACCATCCTCTCCCAGCTCAAACAAATTTGCCAAGCCTAAACAAATCCCCTTCAGCAAGAACATGACTTACAGGGCTAGATCTGTTGAATAAGCGCTTGTTTTTGTGCAACAAGAGATGCCATGTATTGAAGAGCCTAGCAGGTAGAGGTAATAGTTCTTTAAATAAAACCACTGGCCTGCTTACAAAAATGCTTACTGTCTAGCATTTACATTGTTCTGAATACAATGGTACCTTCTTAAAATAAATTCCTGTAAAGCTACAGAGCTGGTAAAATATTTCTGCTGTGCAACGTGGGAAACAGGCTCATAAAATTTTATGTGGAAAAAATGGTGAGGTGAGACCCTTTTCATTTCTATGTATACCATATGGATAGAGATACAGTATATCTAAATATTTATGGGAAGTTATACTACCTGTTCGGCAATAGCAAAGATCTGATCTGCCAGGCAGAATAACACACAAACTGAGGAAATGTGAATGTTTAAACATTAAGGATTGAGGAGTTGTCATGTCTTCCATTTGCAAAGGCCTTCCTAAATGTGTACCCACCCATATACTTGAGATACGCAATTGAGGTGCATATAATGAGGGTTCTAAATCTAAACCCATGAGTGCAGGGGGCTCCCCACTGCAGGCAGTTACCCTTCAACTTGTGGAGCTTGAAATGGGCATTTTCCCAAATAATGTTTTACCATAAACTCAATACTTCTTTAAAAAAGACAATGCCATTCATTAATCTCTACTGGTTTTCAGTATGGCCTATGTTGTCTGGCTATTGTGTTGAGGCCATCACCTCAGGGTGGCAGGTTCCATACAGCTGGGATGGGTGCTGCCACCATGCATCCACTACCACTCACCCGCTGCCCACCCACCCACCACCCACTTCTCTCTGGCTCCTTTTATTCCCTTGGCCGCTTCCAGATAATGGTGGCTGTGGAGTAAGAGGTGGATTCAGCATTTTCAGTTTGGGCTGGAGCAGCAAAATGTCCTGGGCCAACCCTGGCTTTGATTTTTATTCTGTTTTTGTTTTTTATTTAATATGATCTTATTTCAACGAATGTTAGTTTTAGCACTCACTCCTGACTAGATGGAAAGGGTAGTCCAAAAATTGTGCAAATAAATAAATAAGTTTCAGGCTGCTAATCTTCATGTAATTTTGAGTTATCACGCCATTCCCAGCAAACACAGCAATCAACACAAAACCTCTTCTGAAATTATGCGAGCCTCAATCATGAGATATGTCCTAGAACAATTTTCACACACACACACACACACACACACACACACACACACTGTAAGTCAACCACTTTCCTCTAAGGATTCCAAAATTACATTTGCTTTACAGGTCTTCCAAAAATGTTTTAATGAAAATTAGCCTCAAGGGAAGGATGTTCTCCACTGCTTGTTCCTCATGAGTTCCTTTACAGGGAAAAAAAAGTCCCTTAAAATTAATACTCCTCCCCAGATGCAAATACACTTGGCCAGCCCCTGAAAGAGTAAAAAATAATAATCATCTATTTACCTATGCACCTGCTAAAAATCTCTGAAGCCCCACCTCTTAGGAAACTTGTGAAACAATCTGGGAACTGAGCCAAAGTCCACACTCCTGCTATATAAGAGTCATCAAAAGACAGGTGCCTCCTCAGAAGCCTGTCGTTCGGTACCTGTTGCCGAACCCAGCCAAGATGGGGACAGGCAGGGGGGCAAGGATACCACTATGGATACCAATGCTAGTGATCGCCTTAACATGCCAAAAAGGTAGGAAATTTTAACAGAACTTCATTCCCTGGGCAACAGCTAGTGCCTGCTTTCTCCATGGTCCGAAGGACTTTACAGTGATTTTGTTTGCTTTGCCTCATTAAATCTAATCAGGACTTTAAACATATTTGCCCTGTATTTTCCTATCACCATTCTAAAGACAATATGCTCAGGTTTCAGGGATATAAAATTCACTGCCCCAGTGCCCCGAGGCAGTCATTTGGTAGATCAATAGGCCATGATCAGTAAGTAGATCAGCCTCAGTATAAAAGCCATTAAAAATTGGTTTCATCTTTTATGCTCAGACACTGATTGATTGATTTTTACCAGTACGAATGAGGTTTGTAAAATGTGATTGTCGAAAGGAGCAAACCTGGCAGGTTAATAAGGCAAAGAGAGAATTGTATATATTCTTTGTAAAACCATATGACTGCATCATTAAGCCTTTTGAAGTCAGTAGCAAAACTCTTGCTGACTTTGATGAACTGAGTTCCAGTTTAAATCCAGTTATGTTTGCGATCAGCCATACAGAAAGGGGTACCAGAATAGGACTTTGTGACGGTGGAGCATTTTTCTGTGGCCTTCCATGGAATCAAAGTATTCTGAAATAAGGGACATAGCATTGTGATCCATGGAACTAAAATGCTCTGCGAAAATGAGACAATACTTTTAAGGGAAACACAGGTTTGAAAGCGTCTTTCCTTCTATCAGCATCTTTGATAGAGAACAATTTCAAGAGTCTTTCAAAAACCAGTTCCATTCACATTTTCTTTCTGAGCCTAGAGCAAAAATGGATGCAAACTCTAGGTTCTGAAAATAGCACAATACATAGCTATTTGAAAACTAAACCAGCCAAGCCCAGAGCCAGTTATTTCCTCAGCAGTGCATCCACAGAGAGTGTTCTTGAGTTAATGACTTCTCTCTCTTCCCCTTCAATTGCAAATGTGTATTGAAACAGGATGGTTTCCACTTACAGCTACAATCTTCTATGTGGGCATCAGTAAATACAGTGAATACTTCACCACAGGACAGCTGGTGTAGGCTACATGGAATGAACTACATCACTATCATTACAAATCTGCCTTATTTAAGATCTCCTACCCATTCAGGGGGTAGGAGATCTCCTACCCAACTCAGGGAGACACGGGTGGCGCTGTGGGTTAAAGCCTCAGCGCCTAGGACTTGCCAATCGAAAGGTCAGCAGTTCGAATCCCCGTGGCGGGGTGCGCTCCCGTTGCTCAGTCCCAGCGCCTGCCAACCTAGCAGTTCGAAAGCACCCTCGGGTGCAAGTAGATAAATAGGGACCGCTTACTAGCGGGAAGGTAAACGGCGTTTCCGTGTGCGGCTCTGGCTCGCCAGAGCTGCGATGTCACGCTGGCCACGTGACCCGGAAGTGTCTGCGGACAGCGCTGGCCCCCGGCCTCTTGAGTGAGATGGGCGCACAACCCTAGAGTCTGTCAAGACTGGCCCGTACGGGCACGGGTACCTTTACCTTTTACCCATTTATACTGAAGAAATAGCATAGAATTCAAGACAGCTGTTTCAGGGAGAATTGCACATGATTTGTATGCAAGTAAGGGAAAGTTTGTTGCGGGGTTTTTTTGGGGGGGGGTTAAGATGGGTGGTCCAGAAGAGGAAGCTACCCAAGGCTGATTCAACTGGTTCATGTTTTGGTATGATTTTGCATACCAACAACAAGAAGCTACACTGCGGCAAAAAATTGTGCAAATAGGTTTTGGTGTTCAATCAATTGTCAGTTTACACACAGGATTTTCAAAGGTCTAATGACCAATCCAACTCCTATCAAAGTTATCACCTGGCTTAGGGTGACGATAGATGCAAAGCTCAGTTAAAATGTCAACTCAGGATGCTGCAGCAGTTGAAGGGCAAAATTCCCCTTAGGGTTTTGTTATGAAAGGGATTGGAAATAGAATAGGCAATGTGCCATAATGGGTTAGATCCAGACTAAGTTAATCATGCTTTATTCTCTTTCAAATCAATGGGGTAAAGTTCCTCTGGATCAATATAAGCCCCATTCAGTGGGTCTGCTCCACTAAGTCTCTAAGATCCATACCAGTGTCTTTATATAAGTCTGCGGTGTACTTACATTTGGAAGGACCTATCCACACTTATCTTGTCCCACCACTTTCCTCCGGGGAAACTCGCTCCTTACAACTGAATCACAGCAAATGTCAACTGGATTTTCCATGAATTGATGATTGCTCTGTTTCAGTGGGAAAGAGCAGGTTTTCCCAGGGAAAGCAGTCTGGCAAGTGGAAAACTCCTGAGACTCATGCTTTCTAGGCAAGGGACAAGGGGAAGTGTGGGTGAACATGAATTCTGCACAGTTCTGGCCACCTTATCTCAATAACTGGGCAAGGTCAGTTCAAGGGATTAATGGGTTGGAGCAGTTTCCCACTCAGGAAACGTGAGCTCAGAAAAGAAGGGGGCTTTTTTCTTCAGAAAAGAAAGGTAACTAAAGGGTGAATTCTAGAGATTGACAAAAGCATGGATTGTGTTGAGAAAGTGGACACAGAGAGGTATTTTATCCCTCTCTCATGCCAGAACAGGGAGTTACCCAATGAAACTGATTAGCATTTGATTCAGGATAGATAAGAGAAAGTCCTTCATCACTTTACACACATTTATGGAATTTGATGCTGCAAGTTGAAGGCATCTCTTAGGTGACTTTGAAAGAGGAGCAGAAAACCAGTCAGGGAGGGCAGGTTGTTAACCATAATAATTAAGTGGAACCTCCATGTTCATGCAGTACAAATCTGAATAGAGTATCAGTTGTGTGGCGTGAGGGGGAGAGTGGGAAAGGTCTGCTGCCTTGATACTCTGCTTCTACTGGGAAGGGTCAGAGCTCAGTGGTAAAACACATGCTTTGTCCAGTGGAGTGAACTCTCTAACAGCTCAAAGCATCTGATACTTTACAAATGGGAAAGCCACAGATAATCGTAGAATCATAGACCTGTAGACTTGAAAGGGACCCTGAGGGTCATCTAGTCCAACCCCTTGCAATGCAGAAATCTCAATTAAAGCATCCCTGCCAGATGGCCATCCAACCTCTGCTTAAAAGCCTCCAATGAAGAAGAATCCACAACTTTATGAGGGAGTCTGTTCCTGTGTTGAGTAGCTTTTACCATCAGAAAGATCTTACTGATGTTTAGCCAGAATCTCCTTCCTTGTAACTTGAAGCCATTGGTTCAGGTCCTACTTTCCAGAGCAGGGGAAAACAAGCTTGGTCCATCTTCCGTGTGACAGCCCTTTAGATACTTAAAGAAGGCTATTATCCTTCCTCTCAGTCTGCTCATTCCCAAGCTAAACATACCCAATTCCCTCAACCATTTCTCATCAGGCTTTGTTGCCATGCCCTTTCTAATCTTGGTTGCCCTCCTCTGCATAGCATTCAGGTTGCCAATATCCTTCTTAAATTGTGATGCCCAGAACTGGACACAAGACCCCAGGTGTGGTCTGACCAAGGTGGAACAGAGCAGTACTGTTGCTTCCCTTGTTCAGGACACTATACTTGTGTTGATGCAGCCTAGAATAGCATTGGTCTTTTTCTTTTCTTTTTTTTACTGCTGCATCACACTGTTGACTCAAGTTAAGCTTGTGGTCTACGAAGACCCTTAGATCCTTTTCATTTGTACTACTGGCAAGCTAGGTGTGCCCCGTCTTAAATTTGTGCAGCTGGTTCTTCCTGCCTAAGTGTAGAACCTGACATTTGTCTCTATTGAAATTCATTTTGCTAGCATGAGATCAAATCTGTGGGTCTGCCTACTTGTAAGTGAGCCTGCCTGTGTGCTGAGAAACCCATGCACAATATGCCTCCATGGTCTGAAGCAAAGGACAGGTCTTTTAAAATACTGATGCTTAGACTTCAGAGTGCCCTTTCCTGAGAATTTCACATAGCCCCTTCCATTCTTGGTTTCAGACAGCATGCTAAAAGCAACTTTGTTTAGCTGGGCTTTTGAAAGAGGAAGGGAATCAATGGCTTTAGGAGACTGGTTTATGATTTGAAAATTGTATTTTGAGCTGATGGGCCAGGCAAAAATATTTTTAATGAAGAAATGAATTAAAGTTTGGTCAAATCCTGTGCCTTTGCCTTTTGCTAGTTAGCAGAATTGTTGCAGTACATGGTAATTATCCCTTTCTCACTGTTTTAACTGTTGCCACAGTCAACACCCAGGTTGAGCAATCCCAGTATGAAGACCAGCAATCCCAGTATGAAGACCAGCAGTATGATCAACAGCAGCAGTCAAATTACGACTATCCATCTGTGCAGCCGACACATGATGACCGTAGGTGTTTCTAACTTCATTTGGACTCCAGCGCTAGCCAGATACGCTTGCAATGCCAGTTGCCAAGCCATAATTATTTCCGTCTTTCCCATATTCTTTGTCTCTGCCTTAAATTCCTACATAGTTTTGCATCCCAGCCTCTTAGTAGGCAGAGATGAGGCAATACTGAAGCTAAAGGTTTTCTGCTTTAGCTCACAAAGTGATTGATTGCACACCCCTCTAAGTTGCACCTATTCCTTTTTGCTCTGAAAATGAAAAGTGAGCTCCTCAAGCTATTAATTTGTTATCTTTGGGAACCTGTAGGGTGTTAAGGCTTGATTCTTAGATAGTGTGCAGTGGATAAAGTTTTGTTTATCTTGAGATTATGCTAATTTCCATCAGTCAAAGAGCAAGCAAACACCCTCATGCAAGGCAGGTATCTAATCTAGAACTATGTTTACATTGCATAGGTGTTTGCGCAGCACACAAATATATTACGTGTGAGCATGGGTGTACACCCATGTGATACACCCATGATAGTGGGACATTTAAATACATCCCTTTGTGCTTAGAAGTTCTAAACTGTATCACTCCCAACTGGGACAGGTCCAGCATATCCGCATAGTAATTTTATCATTTTGGAAATGCCAAAGAATGTTAGATTGTGTTTCTGAATAATTAGAGAAAGCTGTTTGCATGGCTTACCGGCTAGATCACCTTCGCTTCTACAATAAATTGCACATTGTCCATTTTACATAATATGCTTAAAAACTGGCTCCCTTTTAGCTAAAGTAAGAATGACAGCTTGAACAGAACTGACAGGGAGAAGCCAAAGTTAAAGAGATTCAGAAAGGAACACAGCCCATGACCCAGCCAAAGTCAAACACTGTAATATAATAACAATAATAATTTATTATTTATACCCCGCCCATCTGGCTGAGTCTCCCTAGCCCCTCTGGGTGGCTTCCAATCGAGTGTTAAAAACAACACAAAGCCCCTTTAAATTCAATGAAAGAGTTAAATATGCTGTTGAACACTGGCTTTTATCACTTTGTGCAATTTACAAATTTATCTGTTCTGAGAAATAGGTGATTATCTCTTGCTTTGCCTTAATCTAATATTAATTGGGTTTCACACTCTGTGCAATCTACAAACTATGGGGAATGGCCAACGAAGTCAGAGTAGACCCTCTGAAATGTATGGACTTACATCAATTGATTTTGATGAGTCAGCTCTGAGTATGACTAACTTTGGATATTGCCCAGTTAAATAGAATTAAAGAATTCTTAGGTAAATTTCTTTGACACAAGTTATGCAAATGATAACCAAAGTGGTTCTTAAAATAAACTATGGTGTTCATTTCATATACTGTATTCTATTTATGGTAGGAGCTATAAAAGATCACATTTTGAATCATCCAAGTTACTTTTGTATTGCTTTTAAAGGCAGGCTAAGTCTTGCACTAAGTAATTTTTTTATAACTTTTCTGCATCTCATTATCTTTTATATTTTTGCAAAAAAAAACAACCCAAAAACAAACAACAACACAGAAAAGAGGGACTTTCTGGGGGAACTGTAGAAAGCTTTATGTTTCAAACTGTAGAAATTCTTACATAAAAAACTGCAAATGACTGGTACCTCAGGCCCACATAAACTACAAGTGTTGGTGAATCCTAGTGGGAACGGAGGAAACCCACTATTCCCTCCTCTCTTCTTGTATGTTGCAATAGCCCTTGTGTTGAACAGAATCTATGTTTTTACTGCAAAGGGGCAAGCACTGATATAGGAATATCTGGAAGTAATTCCTGCATCATGGCTAGCCCATAATGAGATTTCAGAAATGACAAAAGAGGCTAAGACAAGGAGAACCTACTGGATCAGGTCAATGGCCCATCTAGTCCAGCATCCTCTTCTCACAGTGGCCACCCAGATGCCTGTGGGAAACCCTCAGATGCTGATATACTTTCCTCTCACGCCAAGTTTAATGAACTGCTACTTCAGTGTAGCAACACAGAACGGCTATAATTACACACACAGTTAAACCATGGTTTGCTTAAACCATGGCTAGGTTAACAAACCACAACATATCATCTTATAGACAAGTAAGCAAGCCACAGTTTATTTTCCCAAAGCATGTTTTGTTTCTAGCCTTCTGCCTCTGTAACTTGGCAATTGTCTCAGGCAGGATGGCCAAATGAACCAAGGTAAAGCAGCAAGGCTGCTGGGTTTGGACAAAATGACAAACTTTTCAGCCATGGCTGAAAAGCCAACAACAAACCATGGTGTGCCATAGTTTGTGACCAGAAAACAAACCATGCTTAATCTGTTTGACTACAGCTTTGAATATTCAAACAAACAACTCTGATTCAACATATGATGGCTTCATGTTACATGTAATCCAGACCAAGACCATGCTATTATAGATGCTGCTGTTTGTTATGCCTAGATACATTCAGTACAAATCTCTTTGTATGCAAGTTCAGAAACAAGATATTCCATAAAACATAATCACATTTTGTTTGAGCCAAACACAGTGAAAGGATTTAATCCCTCTCACGTTGCTCACAGTGTATGTGATGCCCTTTCACAAAGCAAAGGGAAAGCAATTAATTTACAATGTGACTAGTTTTACCTGGAAGAGGCTGGTATCATATTCAAGTTACCGTATGCTCCACATGAGAAAAGCCTCGTTACATGAGTAAAGTTGGCACCATTTTGGTTATTTTGACAAGTTGTATTTGGTGCCAATTCTGACAGAACACTTTTGACATTTTATTTCTGCAGAAAGTGGTAGGTAGTGTGACACCAATACTTTCCTCATGTGCATATCTGAACACTTAGTTAAGAAAAAAATTTTAAGCAGAAATTTTGTGCCTACTTACTTGAGAAGAAATCTCAGTAAACTCACTGGGGAATCACTTTCAGGTAAACTATGCACAGAATTGGGCTATCAGTATGACAAATCTCAGGATTTCATCACCAGCCACTTGGCCTCTACCTTAGAATCCTTTAATAGCTCACTAGAATTTACATTTAAAAGCCACACTGTCTAGAATAGAAAGGGGGGGGGGGTTGGAATTGAGAAGCATAGTTGAACTCTCATTGCCCCAGCCAGCAAGGCCAACAATAAGAGATTGTGGAAGTTGTAGTTCAGAAGGTCTGCAGAGCGCCAGGCAGTGGGAAGCTGCATTAGAGCTTTATTCATCAAATGAATTTGGAGATATCTCTCTATTATTTCATTATGGAAATGCTGGTACAAGCTGTAATCACATTTATTTCCATCAGCTTTTGTCAAACCATCTCGTAGTCCTCATGTGACCATCATCCCTCCCATGAGAACAACTCTGGCTGTGAAAGGTAAGTGAACCACAAACCACATTCTTGTGTTTTAGACAATAATCTTCCACTCACTGGGTGAAATTCAACAAATGAGTCCCATCAGTGGCAGCCCTATGCAAGGACTTCCACTTGTGAATGGGGCTTTCCCCCCGCTCCTCTTCCCCATCTCCCCTGTGTCCTCCCCCACTGCCATTGGCTCTGGCGAGTTGGGAGGGTGCCCAAATTGGGGTTGGGGAGGTGGGGTGGAAGAGAGGGGGGTTATTCCATATGGCAAGCTGAAATGCTTTCCTTGACGGAACTATTCCATTAGCAAGAAGTTGGATTCCTCCCACTGATTCAAGTTCCATTCCATTTACTTCAAAGGTTCTTTAGCAGCTGTATTCCAGAAAGGAAGATTGCAAAACTGAACCTTAGTATCATATCGGTTAGAAATGGACTAGGGAGAAACAAAGGAAAGGGAAACAACCCATGGGCTTCCCTTCAAGGTCAAACAACAGATCAAGAGCAAATAAAAGAATATCATGTGGCCATATTTTATAGAAATGTAGATTTTGAAGATAAACTGAGGATGATTCTTGGATGAATGGATAGGTGGGTGGGTGAGCGAAGGATTTGGGTAGAACCTTACAGATTATTTTGAATCCACAGCCGGAAACCCTGCTCACAATGGGAGAGTGTGTAGCACATGGGGCAACTTCCATTTCAAGACCTTTGATGGGGACATCTACCATTTCCCTGGCACCTGCAACTACGTCTTTTCCTCCCACTGCAAATCTGATTATGAAGACTTCAACATCCAAATAAGGCGCTCTGTGGTTGAGAATGCTGCCATTATCAGCCATATCATCATAAAAATTGATGGAGCAGCCATTGAACTGACGCCACACTCCATTACTGTCAATGCAGAACAGTAAGTTCAGTTACTTTACTAACGACCTTATTAATGCTATTGGGGCCAACAACACAGAGTGGCTGTGTGGTACAGGAGCAAACAGCTATGCATAGTCCAAGGTGGGTTATAAATGCCACAGCTTTTATTGGTTGTAGCTGTAGTTCACAGGCTCCAGTGTTTTCAGAGAGCAATGATCCTATCATCAGGCACCTAAAGTGCTGGAATAAGGCTGATTTATAAGTGAAAGTGTTAAGAGAAAAGTGTCTTTGCATGAGAATAGTCATGGTTAGACCTGGGCCACATCAGTCTTCAAGTCATATAAGAATGGGGTAGTTTCATATGTTTGAACCATGTGTCTGTTTATATTGAAGGGATGCCATGAATGTTCTTAAAAAGATGAACTAGGTTTTTGTCAACGAGAGGTTTTCTATTTGCCACCTTCAGTTGCAATTTGCTTTATCTCCAGTGTCCAGCTGCCCTACAGCCACTTGGGAATCTTGATGGAGACAGTCTCAGGTTACCTGAAAATTGTTTCCAAGCTAGGCTTGGTGATCATGTGGAACCAAGAGGATGGCCTTCTGGTAAGAATATGAATGCTCAATATGCTGTTTTGTAACGAACAACCATGACACTATTTATCATGTGTTTGTTCGCAAGTAAGTGGTGATTTGCAGTTTAGATGTGATGCCCTCCATTTCGTTTTGAAATTAGGAAAAAACAAATTTGCCTGTATCCAGCATCGAAGATTACCTAATGCAAGATTACCTTCTTCTTAGTAAAGAGGGGGTAAACAAGATGAAAGCTGCTGCTAAAAATTAATCGCTTTTCTCATGTAATCGGCATTGCTGAGTGCATATCTTTTAGAGAAAGGTCTTGAGCTGCACAGTTTAGAAGATAAAAGCACAAGCACAATCCAGCACTTAAATTCATACTATTTTAAAAGTGAAATGTAAAGATAGCTATAACTCTTGGGATTTTTTAAAAAAGGGGTTTGTTTGTTTTTGTTTCAGTTTACTCATGAGTGACTTCATAAGTCGTGCCTGATATTGTGAACCAGAATGATTATTCAATATATCCTTTTGCTCTCTTGAGCTCTTGGATCATTTCTTTGGTGGTCTGGTCATTATGTTTCATCATGTTAATATCTTAATTCAGTGGGTTGGATCAAAACTTGAAGGGGCAGAATTGCACTAACCAGACACTCCTACAGGCAGAAGTGATGAGTGTGCTTCCTCCCCCCACTTCTCTCTTCAGGCCCACATGTCCCCACTCAAATCTGTTCCAGGGGGTTGGGGAGCCTGTCAGACCAACATGGAAGATGATGTGGTGGGGAAGGGTTCAAGGAAGAAGGGGAAACTGTTCTAAGAATAGAGAGTAATCAAAATGAGCCATTCAAAATTAGCTCAGTCAGGTAGTAAATATTTACAAGCTCAATCAGCTTGTAAATATTGGGTTCATCTATACAATACATCAGTTGTTCACCACTCTCATGCAAAACCAGCCATCAGCTCTCATTTTTATTCATCATATTCAACACTCTGTGCTTTCACTATACTTATCTCTTGCTTCCCCCATTTGTTTTAGCTTGAACTGAATGAGAAATATGCTAATCAGACTTGTGGACTTTGTGGAGACTTCAATGGAATCTCAACTTTCAATGAATTTGTTTCTAACAGTAAGTATACAAAAAAAAAACCCACACACAAAACAACGCACACAGGCAGTTCTGTTGTTATTGCTTCTGAAAGTTCATTTGTAAGATGGCAATGTTTATATTGGCAAACACTTGTGAAAGGCTATGTGGCATTTTAAAAGGACCAAGGTTCGTCTGTTGAAGTGATCTCTTGCAAAAATTGCAGTCTTTGTTTTCCCTGTCTTTTTTGTAGCTAATTGTATAAATGGTCTATTACATCTTTAAAACATGAGTATTATTTTTTTTAATGTGGGAACGGGGCTCCCAACTTCGAATATATGAACATAGGAAGCTGCCTTATACCATTGGTCCATCTAGCTTAGCACTGTCTATGCTGGCTGGTGTCAGACATGGGTCTCTTCTAGTCCTACCAGGAGACACCAGGAATTAAACATGGGGCCTTCTCTATGTAAAACACTTGCTCTACCACTGAGCTATGGCCCTTTCCTGAGTTTGTGTCAAGCAAGGAGAGTAACGATGTAGCAGAGAACATCCTCCTCCAAGTTTCTGACCTGGCTATATCTTGTCTCCCTGACCTATGCCACTACATAGTGCTAGTCTGGGATGCAGGATCTTTCAAGGCAGACGTGGGTAGGATTCCTTCATGGAAGTTTGAAAGAGGGCAGACCTACATTCTGTTTTTGGTCATATGCTCCAACCCATCTGTCCTAAAGGATAACAGCCCATCCAGCAGGGAATTCACCATGGGTCTTGAGCAACGTCTGGTTTGATGTGGCCAGGAAGGCATCTTGGTTGGGATTGCTAACAAGATGATGCAGACAGATGTGGGTGTTTTTACTTTAACCTCAGTGACCTTAGTAGGAACTATAGCTGTTAGATTAATCACAACTTGGAATTTGTTAATGCATAGGTATGGGACAAGAATCTGAGCTTTCTTGAGGTAAATGGGTAGGGGTGGGGACTTTTAAAATATATCTTTCCAGAAGGTGACCTGGCTGTCACCTCATGGGCTCAAGCTCTTGCTTCTGCATGCATCTGCCAAACTTATCTGGCATAAAGAAAATAAAGATGTGGCCTGTGCCACCCTGGATCAGTAGGGTTGGCTGTACCCTATCTACTCCTGCTCTAACTACAATTTTAGGATGACCATTTTGAAAATAATACTATTCACACTTATTGCAGACATCAAACTGAATCCTGTGCAGTTTGGAAACATGCAGAAGATGGATGGACCCACCGAAGAATGTCAAGATCCTGCCCCTTCAGCTGCAAGCAATTGCAGTCAGGAGTTTGTAAGGATTCTTTTTGTTGTACCTTCTTTTTAAGGGAGATCTGATATTTTCTTTCCCTTTGCTTTGTCTTCAGGGAATGCAAAAGAAACTGAGACAATGAACTTTTGGAAATAAATGCTAACTTACAAATATCATTGGTTAAAATCAGTGGTAGTTCAATAGCTAAGTGGCGCTTTATGAAGCCCATTGATTACACACACTGTCTATTTCCTACTTCCAGAGTACTGTCTGCCAAACAGTATTGACTGGTGAAGCATTCATGGGCTGCAATGCACTGGTTGAAGTACAAGATTATATTGATGCTTGCGTACAAGACTTGTGCAGCTGTGATAAGTCTGCCACTGATTACTGCATTTGCAACACCTTTGCTGAATATTCCCGGCAATGTGCCCATGCTGGTGGACTGCCAATGGAATGGAGGACAGAAGATCTGTGTGGTAAGTATCTCTGAAAGGCACTTCTGCCTCTCTGGGTCAGACTCAATAAATCATAATGTGGGGGGCACTGTTGTAGGCCATCTAGCCTAATCCTTTGCTTAATGCAGAAATCCAGTAAGCCCAACAGATGGTTGCCCAGCCTCTGCTTAAAGACTTCTAGTGAGAGAGGGAACTCTCCAACCCCATGCAATGACTTCCATTCTTGAATAGAACTTTCCATCAAAAAAGATTCTCCTCCTGTTCCACTGAAGTCTACCCCCTGTAGCTTAAGCCCATTTGATTTAGTTCTGTCCTCTGGGGCAGCAGAAGACAAATTTCTCCCTGTTTGGTGCAACAGTTCTTCATGTATTAGAAGTGTGCTTTCTTGTCCCTGCCTAATATACATATACCCAGTTTCTTAATTTTCCCCTCACTGGGCTTGTTTTCCATATTCCTGCTTAAAAAAAAACCTCACCAGAACATAAAACACCATTTGTTTAAAGCAATTTCACCTCAAGAAAACAGCCAACACAAAAATTACATAGCGGGTCATCTAATGTTTCATAATTCATGTCTCCTTTCAGCCAAGACATGCCCTTTCAATATGGTGCACCAGGAATGTGGCTCCCCCTGTTCTAATACTTGTACCAATCCCGAAAGGTCCCAGCTCTGTGAAGATCATTGTACAGATGGCTGCTTTTGTCCACCAGGTAAGTCAACAAACAACATTAGGCTGACAGCAGGGGCTCTGGATATTAATAGCTTTCCATAGAAAACAGCTTCCTCAGTTTAGTTTTAAATGAGATAGTCATGATTGCTATCCTCTGCTATGAAAATTAAGGGTGGTTCTTAATCTCCCCACACTTTTGGATTTATTTTGGATCTTGTTTTTTCTATATATCTTTATAGAGTGCATTTGTGGATAGGCAAATTAAAAATTTAATATATGCACACTTCTTTGCATATTTTAATTTTATTTTTTAAATGTTTTCAATTATTTTTAATGCTTCTTGCTGGAAAGGTCATACACTCTTGCAGAAAGGCAAACTAGAAATACATACAATCAAAAAGATCGTTCTTTTTCATTTTTTTAAAAAATGCATGTATTTATTTATTTCTTGCTGAAGTGCTGGTGCTATTCTGAGTAACTTTCAGTTTCAGTGGGTGATGCTTAGTTCTAGTATTAGCAGAAAGAGGGAAAAAGAAATTCCTGTGAACTTTGCTGAGAGTGAATGACTGGCAAGTTTTATGAGGGCAGGGTGTTCAGTTGGATGGCTCAATGAACTGATCCAGCATGGTAGCTTGTATGCTCTTAAAACAAAGCAAACCTGGTCAAGAACACACACACACACACACACACACACACACACACACACACACACTACTACAGGTGTTTAATGTGTGGGAATGTTGAGGGTGGCAGGAAAGGATATATTGATTATTAATATCCTTCCCAACTTGCACTAGCAAGTTTCTTCACTTAGCAGAGTGCATTCCCCTTCTTACAGAGCAGAAAACTGGTTGCAAACTCATGTGAGTTTCTTAAGACAATAAACAATTCAATCTGGGTTGCCCAGATTGAGATATGTTCTAATATTCCTGATAAGACCCCTTTTGAATCCCTCCTAAAAGAATAAAGATACCACAGTCTTATTCATAAGTAACAAAAAGTGGTTTTACTCATGATCAGGCAGAACACAGTGTGATCCCTGAAGGCAGGCTTTAGGCTTAAAGTTACACACATGTACAAACAGGTTTACCTCATATGGGAGATAACATGGGGAACTGCTGTGGCAGCCAGCAGTACAGTCCAGGCGATGCAGGAAGCAGACAGGACAAACGGGAAGGTCGAAAAGGGGAAGGTAGCAGCGTGACTTGCCTTTTACCAGGTCTGGAAAGATCATGCCCACCTACTAGTCACATGCAAGGAAGGATGCTCCAGGCCAGGAAGACAGGAAGTTTTGACTGGCTGAACCAAACATTCCCTTGCATGTCCACTCTAGCAAAACAAGGAATGTTGTACTTGACTGCTCCCAGTGGATTACATCCCACATAATGCAGCTCCCACAATGCCAATTTCTCAAGCTACTGGAAAATGGTAACATGGTAGGTTGCCATCAGGAGTCTGGCATGACAATACCAAAGTCAGTGGAATGGTGTAATGTGCCTCACAGATCTTAAAAACAATGAAACTGATACCTAACCTACCTCCTTATTCTTTTAGGCACTGTGTTCGATGACATAAGCAGCTCTGGTTGCATCGCTGTGAAGGACTGTCACTGTACTTACAATGGAGACACTTATTCTCCTGGAGCTTCTTTTGCATCCCAGTGCACTGCATGGTAAGACACCCACATCTGCTCATTCCTATTGCCTAAAAAATAAATGTGATGGGAATAATGACTCAAGTGTAGAATGTTGTGGTATTAAAAAAGAATCTCAGTATTGATGTTTACTACTTTAGTGTCAATTGCGTCAAATGCTAAAACACTGCAGCATGGAGCCACATGGATGCTCCCTTGGGTTCCGTGACAGAAGAAAGGTAGACTATAAATGAAATGAAACAAAATAAGCTACAAAATACTGAAAAAACACCAGGCATCAGATTAATATGAGTGAATTAATATGAGTGAATTAATATGGCTGAATGTCAAGTACAGGTATCCATATTCAAAGGATATCCTGCTGTTTCTAGGATATCCCTCCAGGTATATTTGACATCAAAATTCACAAAGAAGAGGAGATATTTGAGGATTTTTTTAAGGAGCAGGTTAATGTCATTGTGAAGGAGGAGGTGGAGGAGAAACCCCATTTTTTTAAATAAAAAAACAACAACCCATTGAATGCATTCATATTGTATATGAAGGAGATGAAGGTTTAAAGAGGCTTTTGTTCAAATATGCGACATCAATCCATTTCTATTCCAAAATTAACTAAAGGGCCCCATTTCGGCAGTGTGTTTTGAAGCCTTCAGGAATACAGGGGTTATGATTTATTGTTTATTGTGTCAACGTCTTTCAAAAACAGTTATTAACATTGCTATAGCTCATCAAGGAACATTGGATTACCTACAGAAAAGTTGTTCATTAATAAAAGACCACAACCTACAGCAGCACTTAAAGAAAGGGAAATAAGTGCATTAAAATAGCCTAGCTTTAATTATTGCACTTTTCTTTTTTGCTTGTTTTGTTTTCCTTGTGTACACTGTCACCTGATGCACACCACTCTCTTCTCTTCAGTACATGTACTGGAGGCCAGTGGGCCTGTGTCAGCCTGGACTGCCCCGGAATGTGCTCTGTTGAAGGAGGCTCCCACATCTCCACATTTGATGAGAAACGCTATTCGGTCTTTGGGGACTGTAGCTATGTCTTAACGAAGGTAACCAAAAGGCAATATTTAACTTTTGGGGCGGATTGCAATGGAGAAATCCCCACATGCAGGGATCAAAATGGCTTGGTTAGAATGTCACAGGAAAAAGGTTTGATTTAATTAAGCTATTGACATCAACAGTAATTTTCTGTACACAGAAAACTCCAGCAAAGAGTCCAACATAAAATAAGTAGGTTGATGTCAGCAGGCTTTTGCAAAAGTCCCATAGGAAAGAACTGCAGTTGCCATGCTTTGGGGATTTCATATGCAACTGTTCAATTCAGCCGTCCTCAACCTGGATATTTTGGTCAACAACCCCCTTCAGCACCAGCCAGCATGGCCCTGGTCTGGGATGATGAGAGTTGGAATCCAAAAACATCTGGAGGGTACTAGGTTGCGGAAGGCTAGTTTAATTCACTGCTGTTTAAGTATTGCAGTGTATTCCTCAGACTGGGAAACCAAGCACATAGAGTGTTTTTTAGTGGCTGGGGAGATGGAATGGGGCCTGGAAAATCTTGGGTCTGAGTCCCTATAGATTTTATGTGTATGCTACATCTGAAGGACACAGCCTCATTGACAAGGCTCATCTCACAAAATGCCGATTGAGACTAAGCTAGTTGGACTTAAAGGTAAAGGGACCCCTGACCATTAGGTCCAGTCGTGACCAACTCTGGGGTCGCGACGCTCATCTCGCTTTATTGGCCGAGGGAGCCGGCGTACAGCTTCCAGGTCATGTGGCCAGCATGACTAAGCTGCTTCTGGCGAACCAGAGCGGTGCACGGAAACGCCGTTTACCTTCCCGCCGGAGCGGTACCTATTTATCTACTTACACTTTGACGTGCTTTCAAACTGCTAGGTAGGCTAGTTGGACTTAAAAAAGGTAAAGGTAAAGGTACCCCTGCCCGTACGGACCAGTCGTGTCCGACTCTGGGGTTGCGTGCTCATCTCGCTTAAGAGGCCGGGAGCCAGCGCTGTCCGAAGACACTTCCGGGTCATGTGGCCAGCGTGACGAAGCTGCTCTGGCGAGCCAGCACCAGCGCAGCGCACGGAAACGCCGTTACCTTCCCTGCTATAAAGCGGTACCTATTTATCTACTTGCACTTAGGGGTGCTTTCGAACTGCTAGGTGGGCAGGAGCTGGGACCGAACGACGGGAGCTCACCCTGCCACGGGGATTCGAACTGCCGACCATGCAATCGGCAAGTCCTAGGCACTGAGATTTTACCCACAGCGCCACCCACATCCCATCTAGTTGGACTTAGTTCCCATTAAATTAATGGGACTTGAGCTTAGCCAATACTTGATTTCAATGGGGCTAAAGTATGACTAATTTAGTTTACATCCAGTCCAGAAGCTTTCACTTCAAATCAGCACCTCTCCTCAGATTACTTCCTGTATAAAGCCCTAAGCCAGGGATGGGGACCCTGTGGCCTCCGGACAGTCAGAGATGATGGGAGTTGTAGTTCAGCAGCATCTGGAGGTGTTGGTCCAGCAAAACACTGGGAACTCTTTTACCTCATGAGCCCTCTTGCCCATTAAGATAATGGAGAGGATGCCCTATTCATGTGCTAGCCCCTTGCAATGAAATATCAATGGGAAGCAAGGGATAGACCTTTTACAGCACTGGCTCCTATTCTGTGAAACACCCTTCTAAGAGAAATGTCAATTCTATGATCTTCCTTGCCTTTCAAATACAAGGTAAAGTATGCTTGTTTAGGCAAGCTCTTAATCTTCCATAGGAACTTGGCATGATATTTGACTTGCTAAATTATCACGTTTTAGTCTTATTTATATAATACTTTGTTTTTTAAAACATGTTAGCAACGTGTTGTAAAAACGACATTATATTGTTTTAATTGTGGGAAGTTGCCCCATATTGACAACGAAAAGCAGGCTGTCATTATTTTAAATAAACAACCCAGCTAGCTCAAAAGCCATGCGGTAATGGTTATATAAAAAGCCCAGCATTGCATGCTGCCTACACTCTGTGTTCTTCACTTCCAGCTCTGTGACAGTAATGCCTTCACTGTTCTGGGAGACATTCGAAAATGTGGCCTGACAGACACCGAGACCTGCCTGAAAGGCATCGCCATCGACATAGATGGAGGAGAGACAGTAAGTATGGAAAACAAGGCCAACTATATGCTCAAAAGGGAGATTACACACTGATTTATAGAAGCACTCCTTCCGCCCACAGTGAAACAGCAAATATGTTCAGTCTTATGCAAAATGTGTAGAACTGCTCAGTTTTATCTCCTAGTCTCAATTACTACTCCTAACAATAAACCAACTGACCTGTCCCAATCAGAATGTGAACTTCAGTCCCCTTGTGTGGCCCTCATTTCCCCTCTAGGTTACAGTAAGTCCTTTCACAGTCTAGATTTCATAATATTGCAGGCCCACTGCCCCACAACCTCAAGCCCTCCACCTTTCCTTCCTTGCACATTTTCCTTCTCTTCCCACTTCTTTCTTTCCAATGCTCCTTTCTTCAAGTCTCCTTCCCCATATCTATCCTTTCCTCTGGTTACTGTTTCTTGGCCTAGTGCTCTCTTCCTTCAACTAACTTGCTTCCGGTTTCTCCCTCCCTTTGCTTCCTTATCTCCTTGTGATTCTTCCCATTCTCCAGACTGCCCCACAAACCTACTCTGATCCATAGAGAGCTGGGTGAGGATTTAATTCCAGTCAATTGACAGTTGTCCCTTCCCTCATAAAAGTTATTCCAGACATTCTAGCAGCTTTGTTTCCTGAGCAGTTGGAGCATTCATGAACAGTTCATTTCCAGCACAATCAACTGGTGTCAGAGGCTTCACTGCTACAGATGCAATGCAATGTGGATTTTGTTGGAAGTTTATGTGCATGAGCAGTGTCATCCAAAGTCACAAAGAAACAGGAAAACAAGCACATGTGATATTTTTAACCATACTTGTTCATCATTATCTTTACCTTTCTCCTCTGCCAGGTAGTTGTGATCAAGTCTACTGGGGTCGTGTATGTGAATATGATCCTTTCCCAGCTGCCTATCTCAGCATGTAAGTTCTCCTTTCAGAGATAACACATGACATTCATCATTCTTCACTCTCCTACTCTATTATTGTTCTCAACATGAGGGATACCTTCAGCAAGGCTCTTCTGATGTTCTTAGGATTTTGGACTTTTCTCTTATGCTAGAAGGCCATTTACTAGGGAAAATGGTTAAAATGCTAAGCATAAGCAGTTGTTACCTCATTGTTAAGTATGCAAAATCCACATACCCTCGTGCCCCCCCTTGTAGCAAATGCCATAGCCATATGAATCATCAGTTGACACCTGATGAAATGTTTGATCCCATTAGTAAACTCATTATATTCCACTTCGACAGCCAATGTCACCATCTTCAGGCCCTCATCTTTCTTCATCGTTGTGGATACAAAATTCGGCCTCCAGTTACAGATCCAGCTCGTGCCCATCATGCAATTATTTGTACGCTTGGACCCAACCCACAAAGATCAGACATGTGGTAAGTGAGTCAATTAGTCATTAGTCTCAAGACATAGAGGAGATGTTCACTGAAATCACTGTGATGCTGTATGAAGGATTGCAAGGATTTAAAGTTGAATCCTGACAGGAAAGGTGTACTGTGGGGTGTGGGGGACTCCCTGGTCCTGAATGGGGCAACTGTGCCCCTGAAGGAGCAGGTACACAGTCTGGGAGTCATTTTGGACTCACAGCTGTCCATGGAGGCACAGGTCAATTCTGTGTCCAGGGCAGCAGTCTACCAGCTCCATCTGGAAAGCAGGCTGAGACCCTACCTGCCGCGGACTGTTTCACCAGAGTGGTGCATGCTCTAGTTATCTCCCGCTTGGACTACTGCAACACACTCTACGTGGGGCTACCTTTGAAGGTGACCCAGAAACTACAACTAATCCAGAATGTGGCAGCTAGACTGGTGACTGGGAAGCGGCCGCCGAGACCACATAACACCGGTCTTGAAAGACCTACATTGGCTCCCAGTACATTTCCGAGCACAATTCAAAGTGTTGGTGCTGACCTTTAATGCCCTAAACAGCCTCGGCCCAGTATACCTGAAGGAGCGTCTCTACCCCCCATCGTTCAGCCCGGACACTAAAGTCCAGCTCTGAGCGCCCTCTGGTGGTTCCCTCACTGTGAGTAGTGGCGCCCGCCCTCTGGAATGCCCTCCCATCAGATGTCAAGGCAATAAACAACTATCTGGCTTTTAGAAGACATCTGAAGGCAACCCTGTATCGGGAAATTTTAAATGTCTAATGTTTTACCATTTTTTATGTGCTGTAAGCCGCCCAGAGTGGTTGGGAAAACCCAGCCAGATGGGCGGGGTATAAATAATAAAATTATTATTGTTGTTGTTGTTATTTAAAGTCCCCATGGTTTTGTTCCAGGTCTCTGTGGAAACTTCAACAATGTCCAAGCAGATGACTTCAAAGCTGCCAGTGGAGTAGTAGAAGGAACTTCAGCTGCATTTGCCAACACGTGGAAAGCACAGGCCAATTGTCCTGACATCAAAAATATTTTCGAGAACCCATGTACTCTCAGCATAGAAAATGGTATGTGCACTGATATTTTGCAGCTTTTCTCCTAGGACACTCTTTAACCAACAGCCTAATTAGAAAGACCCTTTAGAATTATTTTTTAAGCAGAAATTCACATTAACTCTATTAACTATTGTATGATAGAAATTGCCCTTGTATAGGGCTGGTAAGAACATAAAGGTCATGTTGACTTTTTTAGCTTTTATATTCCACCCTTCCTTCATGCAGCATCCTAATTCTTCTCCCTCCCATTTTATCCTGACAACAACCCTGTGACGTAAGCTTGTCTGAGAGAATGTAACTGGTTTTTGGACACCTAGGGATCTTAAAAGCTGGGTGGGTGAATCCAACACACACTCTCTAAGTCATAGTTTGTTGCTCTATGCCACACTGGCTCTCAGACGACAATGGCTCCCCATAAGAGAAAAAGGCTTTGTACAGCTGGAACAATCATTGCAGACTATTCCACATTATCCAGATCATGGTGTATTAAGACAGCAGAGAAAAATGGCATGACAGACAAAAGATGATTATAGGTGACTTGAGCAAGCAAGCACAACTATATGATGCAGAAGGAAGGCAGAAAGATACAGTTAACAATGAGAGCAAGTTCTAATGCAGTATTTTCTCTCATTGACTGGCTGGAATAGGTCCTCAAACTCTGATAGTGATTCTTACATGCTTGGGTGGTGGATATAGTTCTGAAGGAACTAGACTATTGTACAAAGGTGAAGTTTGTAGCTCTGCCCTGCCCACCACTGGCGTAAGGTCCCTGAGAGGCTGCACAGAAGGGAATGTGTTCCTTGGGCTGAAACACATTGCCCATCTCTGCAGTAATATGTATAAAACCACATTGCCCTTTGTCTTGTACAGAAAAATATGCTTCGCACTGGTGCGGCCTGCTGACGGACAGCAATGGACCCTTTCAGAAGTGCCACTCTGCAGTAGATCCTACTGTTTTCCACACGGTACTTTGTACATTCTCTTTCTTTGAAGTGCCAATGAGAATCTGAACATAACTCCTGGGGGTGGGAATTAAACCTGTTAGAATGGATAAACAATGTCAGGGCTTCAGTATACTCTCTGCCAAACTTTCTGTCATTAATGTATATTATCAATCCCCATATCGTGTTATCCTACATATTCATTTCTCGCTTCACTACTAAATATAAACATCTCCTCATTCCACTCTGTGTGGTTGGCCATGTAGTTTGCCAACTTCTGAGACAGAGGTTAACATTTAAGCAGCTGGTTCTCAGGAAACTCCCAGGTCCTCAGTAGTTTAAAGCAAGCAGTGTGAAATATAAAGACATATTTTTAGATTAAATTCATAGATGAGTTCTTCATGTGAAGGTTTAAGAGCAAGTGTCCCTGAAGGGGGGGAGTTAATATTAATGGCTATTCTCTGTCTCCCTAGACCTGTATGTTTGATACCTGCAATTGTGAAAGGAGTGAGGACTGTATGTGTGCTGCCCTTTCCTCCTATGTCAGAGCCTGTGCTGCAAAGGGAGTGCTGCTGAGCGGATGGAGAACCAGCATCTGTAGTAAGTTATGAGGATTTTGTAAACCAAAAAGCAAGTGACCAGAGGAGATTGTCAAAGTGTTTCAAATAGAACTCCAAACCATGATTCACCCCAACATTTTTGGATTTTTTTCAGTGTCGCTGAATTATTTTGCAAGTTTTCTTAGTAGTAAGTCTCAATGAAATTAATGGAGCTTACTTTTAAGTATCCAATATGGTGCTAAGTGAATCTCTGTCAGCGCAAGATGGAAAGTTCTTCCCTTTTCTCTCCCTGCCCTGCCTGGACACCCCCTAAATGTGTTCTTGGAGTTCCCCCAACCCTCAAGAACAGGTTTGGGGAGGGTGCAGGGTGCATAATACATAATGTAACAATGCATATTATAACTGATTCTTTTTTAAAAAGAAGAAAGAAACCCAAATGTTTTAAAAAAGTAGTCTTGGCATTTTGGGTTTCAAAATATACTGCAGTTGTTTAGAACACCACTTCATTTTTGTGACTTTATTTTTGATGCATCTGCTTCAGCCACTGCATCCCTCAGATAAAATGAGCTGCTAGAGAGAAACATCTGCTCATCTGTAAATGTGTGTTTTTTTCTATAGAAATTCAACTGCTGCCTGCTAGTAAGTGGCAAAGAAGGCAGGTTTTTTTTTTGTTGGCTGCCATTTTGAATTTCCCCAACTGCACATCAGAACAAGGCTACCTGGTTCAATTTGCTCCCTCTCAAGATAATTTTGATCCCCTCCACAGCCTGAAATACTGATGAATCAAAACAACTCATTTCAAGGAGGTGGTTTTTATGTGGCCCCGATCTTTGCCAGTTAGTAGCAGCTGTAGTTTCAAAATTATCCTGGACAAGATTTTGAAGGAATTTGAAGCATCTGTGCTTTGTTTGTGTGACAACCCCAAAGTGGTGCCAGTAGTTTCCTGAAAGTCTTAATCTGGTGAGCAGATACAGATGAGGCTTACGGGAGCTACAGAAAGTTCAGAAGGAAATAAAGTTATTGTTTGCCATGGGGAGGCAAATCACAACCAAAAAACCTTACAGTCTTATGTGAATAATGGAGCATGTGCTAGTTTCTCTCTCTAGTTACACCAAAGAATTCTTGACAGCACTGGATTAGAAATTAGGAGTAAAAGACATATTTTTTGGAAAAGATAGAAAAACACACAAACTATCAAATGAGTAGTTTTCAAAGCTGTGATTTAAAGATGAATCTGGAATCACATAGCTTGATTCAAAGGCCAATAAATTACATGGATCAGTCACGTTTTGAACAGGCTCCTTTTCATAAACCCATACAAGATAGTAACTTCCCTTCTTCAAGTTAAATTTAATTCAAGGCACCCAAGCAATCGTTCATACAGTCTTTATGCACAAAGCAGCATACGTCACTGTACCCAGAACATCCCATCACACCTGGATGGTGAAGGAGACATCCTAAGCTTCTCCAGCCTCTGGGACTAGAGCCCAGCATCTAGATATACAGATATGCATCTAAACACACACAGCCAATGTTTTTGAGTATACATTGTACCCTGCGACGTCTAGTAATTTATAACCACAGTAGCCCTTAGATAACCTCTGGAACAACTTCTTTTCTTTTCCCTCTCTCAAGCCAAATACCAAATGTGTCCCAAAACCCTGGTTTACCGTTACAACATTACTTCCTGCCAACCCACCTGCCGATCTCTGAGTGAGCCTGATGTCACTTGCAACATTAAGTTTACCTCCGTGGATGGATGCACCTGCGAAGAAGGGATGTATATGGATGAGAGCGGCAAATGTGTACCTGCTACCAGCTGCCCCTGCTACTACAAAGGGACTCCTCTACTGTCTGGAGAAGTTATCCATGAAAACGGTGTCATATGGTAAGTGATGGTTTGAAATAAGCATTGTTCTGAGGTGATGGGAATAGCCAAAATTTCCTTCCATAGAACCATGCTTCTAAGCTGCCCTTAATTATGATTTTTTTTTAAAAAAAATTTTTTTTGGAAGATTCAGTCAATTTAATTTTGTAATGTCTGGTGCTTAGATATTAGGTGCCTTTGTGACACATTTCTAAATGCCCCAAAGTTTCTTATTTATGTGAGAAAAATATAGGAGCCCAGCTGGATCAGACCAAAGGCCCGCCTAGTCCAACATCTTATTCTCATAATGGCCAACCAGAAGCCTGTGCAAAGCTCACAAGCAACTTATGAATGCAATAGCAACCCAGCTCATGCTCATTAGCAACATTATTCAGAGGCAATACTGGAGGCAATATAAAGACATCATGACTAGTAGCTGTGGGTGGCCTAGTCCCCCATGAATTTGTCTAATCCTCTTGTAATGCCTTCCAAGTTGTGAACCATCACCATGTTATCTGGTAATTAATTCCATAGTTTAACTATGCTTTGTGCTTCCCTTTGTCTATCCTATATCTCCCACCATTAAACTATCGCATCTGTTAAAAACGGGCTTTCTAGTAATGGCTGGTGGAGGGTGAAGAGAGAACTTGAGACTGGCAACAGCACCACAGGTGCCCTGTGGATCTCTGAGGTCTGTCCACTCCTGATAAAAATGCCTCAGCCCAGGCCAGATCCACCAAGGAGGAATTCTTAAAGCATTTTAACAGGCTATTTTAAGGGAAACATTTTCCTTTTGGTCACAAGGTGACAATTCAGCATTCCACACTGTGAAGGATTTGTTGTTGCTGTCCTTTAGCCAGGCAAGAACAACTGCTCTTCATAAAACTGGTTCAATTTTTAAGAAAGAAACATTCTTCATCTCTTGCAGTACTTGCACACAGGGAAAGCTTCAGTGCATTGGAGAAGTGAAACCACAACCAGGTAAGCCAAATCACAGAAAAAAATAATAGTAGTTCCAGAGACCTTGTAAAACTGAAATATTCAATTGGACTTTGAGTCCTCCGCAAATTGGTTGAAAATATCCAATAGGCTCCCTCCAATGTACAGATGTGGAGTTGTTTTACAACCTTGAGTGATGCAAGTTTCTATTATCTGCTAAGCACCATAGCCAAGATAGCCACCATCCTCTGTCTTAAAATTGGCAGTGAAAGTATAATGTTGTCGTTGTACGAAGACTTTTATGTGTGTTTTTAAGTGAGGTGTTGATAATGGTGTGCCCTGAACTAGTTTTCATGACATACACTCACTGTTTTGGTGATTAATGTCTAATTTCAAACTGAGATTTCATCTAGCTCTCCTTTCTATCAGAATGTTTTGCTCCCATGGTCTACTTTGACTGCACTAATGCCACAGTAGGAGCCACTGGAGCCGAGTGTCAGAAGAGCTGTCAGACCCTTGACATGGGATGCGTAAGTGTGACTACATTGTAACCATTTCTTATCTAAATTACCTGTTCAGCGTATGTATTACATTGTTCCCATGATGACTGCAGTTATCACTTATTTCCTGAATTTATGAAACTGTCAGCACCGCTCAGCATTCATCATGGTCTCCTGTTACAAAATAGGAGCCATGCTGATGGGTGATCAGAGGCAATGATGAAAGCTAGCCTACAGAACCCATCAGAAGGTACTTCAGTGGTAGAGACAGGGAGGTGCAGGGCATGGTAAACCAGTTTAACCACCATGTTATGACTTGTGAATCACTCTTACACCCAACATTTTTTTAAAAATCAAGGGACACCCAACATTTTTTAAAAAATCAAGGGTATCAATATACCAAGTCACAATCTAGTGATTTATAATAACATTCTCTCAAAGAGTTCAAGAAAAGTTCTCCACACCTAAACTCCTCTGAAAAAGTAAACTTGAAGCAGTTTTGCACAGCTTGCTAATTAATTGACTCTTCATTGGTAACGCACCACTGGAGACAGATACTGATTTCACTCTGTCTAGTATCTTAGTCACTTTTGTTTCTCACCTATTGATTTGTCAAGTAACATCTTTTGCTGCCTTATCTTCTGTTACAGTACAGCACACAGTGCATCTCTGGCTGCATGTGTCCCAAGGAGTTGGTGTCCGATGGCCAAGGTGGGTGTGTAGCTGCTGAAGAGTGTCCATGCATTCACAATGAAGCCACATACAAGCCCGGGGACAGCATCAAGGTGAAATGTAATACTTGGTACGTATCGCCTGTTATAAGCTGAACTAAAAGTATTGAACTCTTCCATCTAAATGGGGGGGGGGGGTCAAACAAAAAACCCCACTGTGAAATTTAACCATGTTTCTGTCTGTGCAGTACATGTAAGAACAGAAAGTGGGAGTGCTCCACTGAACCCTGCCTGGCAACATGCTCTGTTTATGGAGATGGTCATTACATCACTTTTGATGGCAAACGCTATAGCTTCAGTGGAGACTGTGAATACACACTGGTCCAGGTATAATACTTTTCTCCCCAAGCACTTGCTTTTTTGAAATGTAGAGTCTTTAGTCTTGATATGGCAAGCTGTGTTCACGAACACCATATAACCCTCTTCTCCACAGGATCATTGCGGTAAAAACAATTCAAATGCAGGGACTTTCAGAGTGATCACGGAGAACATCCCCTGTGGCACCACCGGGACAACCTGCTCAAAAGCCATTAAAGTCTTCATGGGGGTAAGTAGGTTCAGGCAAGATGAACACAAAATATGACTTGTGCACCTGGACAGAACTGGGTTATATTAAATCTACAAATGGGGAAATCATGGAGTGCAAAGTAACTAAGTTGTAAAGGTAGGTAGCCGTGTTGGTATAATGTAGTCGAAATAAGAAAAATAAAAAATTGTCCAGTAGCACCTTAGAGTCCAACTAAGTTTGTTCTGGGTATATGCTTTTGTGTGCATGCACACTTCTTCAGATACACTGAAACAGAAGACCCTTATATATAATGGGAAGGTGGGGTGGGGTTTTTTAGAAGGGTAGTAGGAGATGGGTGATTGACTTGATGGGTATGGTAAACCTGTTGACACTGTTAACGACTGGAATTAGTCCTACAGGAAAAAGCAAAGGATAGTATGCAGATGACCAAAAATAGCTTTAGCATGTGTAATGAGACAAGAATCCAATATCTTTATTCAGACCAGGTCTCTCCATAGTTTTCAGTTTAGTAATAAGTTGTAATTACTTGAAAGAGAAGTTGCTGAATTACAACTTATTGTTGCTTTTCATCTTTCAGAACTATGAGCTGATACTTGCTGATGAAAAATTTACAGTGGTACAGAGGCTTTCTGGTGGAGGTGAAGTGCCATTCAAGGTCCGCTACATGGGAATCTACATGGTGATTGACACCACAGCTGGACTGGTCCTGTTGTGGGACAAGAAAACCAGTATCTTCATCAAACTCAATGACGAATTTAAGGTATGCTGAGGATGCCAGATCGGATTATATAGGGGTGTGTGTGTAATGAAAGAGAAGTGCTACAACATTCTTCCAGGAAATTCTGTAAAGGACAAACATTAAGAGCTAATGTTAGCATTTAAATATTCCAGTCAGTTGATTTATCAGATGAATCCCCTTACTTGACCTCTTCATAGTGGTTTAAGATAGGTTCTGAGTCTGTATGAAGAACTATTGATAGTAATGAGAAACTGGTCACATTAAAGACAAAGTACAAGACAATGTACTAACTTCATATTATGATAAAGTATGACTCTAGAAATTGCTATTGATTATTCTTTATGTGATCTCATGGTGGGCTTCCCATGGGCGTCTGGATGACCCTTGTGAGAAAAGAATGCTAGACTGTATCAGCCAGATCCAGCATGGCTCTCTTTACATTCTAGCTATCATTTCTATTGCAGAACTATTTTTTCTTGCAAGATCAATGCTCACAGGACTGGTTACAGGACAGTGATAGACAACATGGTGCTTGACATCATCCCTGACCATTGCCCATGCTGCCTGGGGTTGATGGGAGTTATAGTTCAACAACATCTTAAGGGCACCGTGTTGGTTACCACTGTGAGAGTATATAAAGGTTCATTTGTTTTTTCATAATAATGCAGCAAAACATATGCTGTGATTGTCAATATCCAAAATATGGTTAGGGTTGACATTCACATTCATATGTAAATGCTGGCCATCCCAAATTGGACAAGCACAACATCCTGATAGTGATGGAAACTGCCCTTCCTCTGGTCATCAAATTGATCATTTGATACACAGGAAAGTGAGTGGTAATAATTCCCTTGTGTGCCTGTGTATGAGAGAGAGAACGTGCAATGGCTGAATCTACTTTTGGTCCCATCCATCACTGCAATGCAGCCTTAGGAGGCTTGACCAAGGGTGAATGAAACAAACCCAAGGAGATTACCACCTCTGCTCTCAAGGACTCCCTAATGATGCAGGAACAAATCACTCAGGTTTCTGCTTTTTTATTTGTAATTATGGTAAGAAGTATTTTTTAAAGAATCTTTTTGAATGAAATTATTTTTTAAAATAATAATTATAATAATAAATATTGAAAGTGGGTGGGGAATCAGGCTATGCCATTTTTTCTGCTAAAAAAAGAGCAACTGTTAGAGCAATTGTTCTTGTAGAAGCCTAAAATATAACTTTTAATATACTTTATATGTTATGAGGCTATGCTTAAATAGGTGCGCTAATTCAGTGTACTGCATGTGTTTGATGTGTACATAGGTTCTCTGAGCACTTGAAATTATTAGTTCATGTAATGGGGACAGTCAATCTATCCATGCATGTACATGCTGATCAGCTTCCTCTGCAGAAATTAACTAAAAAGTCCTCATGAGTGGGAGAAGCCCACAAAGTATGAGAGTCACTATAAATAACCAAAGTATTATTCCATTTTGAAAATGCAGGGTCTCCAATCCCAGGAAAATAAATTTTCCACTCCTCATTAACTTGTTCTTGTCTCTCTGCAGGGTCAAGTTTGTGGCCTCTGTGGAAACTATGATGGCAATGACATAAATGACTTCACCACCAGGAGCCAGTCTGTTGTAGGAGACGTACTGGAGTTTGGTAACAGCTGGAAGGTGTCTCCGACTTGCCCAGATGCCCCGGGCAGCAGAGATCCTTGTTCTACAAACCCATATAGGAGTTCTTGGGCCCAGAAGCAATGTAGCATCATTAACAGCAAAGTGTTTGCTTCCTGCCACTCTCAGGTATGGGCAAATGCATTTTTAAAAGAATGTATAGGACACTTGAACAGCTCCAAGCTTAAGACTTGATGTGCCTGCTCTTGGGACAGGCTGTACCAACCACTGCATAAGAGCAACATAAAAATGTGTTGTCATTCTGTCAGCTAATAATTCAGATAAGAAAAAATTAAATGTGAGCCCCAGATTGGTTAGGCTCCCCAGCACAGTAAATGCCTGATATTAACACATTTAATAGATAATTAATATTTAGGCAGTTGCCAACCAATTTTACTTTTTCCTCAGTGGATGCATAAAAATACCCTTTGCTTCAATGACAAATTACTTCCTTGACAATTACTAATGGTAGATGATACATAACCTTTTCACGTCCGCTTGACGTTTCGGAAGCATTCATGTTTATTATTAACAACAAATTGCCTCTGCATGCAATTCTGTTGCTATAACAAAATGTGCAACTTGAAAATAAAAACAATGACTGATGTCACAAATTTTCCATGCTGACTTTGTCGGAGAAACGAGAACTGTAATTGAAAAAAATCAGAAAATGCACCCTCCCTCTCTGACCATGGCCTGCCAAGACTGAACCACAAATCAAACCATGTGTATTCCTTCTCTAACAGGTTGAACCAACTAAATATTATGAAGCCTGCATCTCTGATGCCTGTGCTTGTGACACTGGGGGAGACTGTGAATGCTTCTGTACTGCTGTAGCCGCCTATGCTCAGGCGTGCAATGAAGCTGGCAGTTGCATTTCTTGGAGAACTCCAAACATCTGCCGTGAGTACTGCCCATTCCTTTTAAAGTAATAACAAAAAGATAGATTAGTGAGAACAACGAGTAGGCTAATGTTTCTATATTTGTAGCACCATATATGGTATGTGGTAGGATGGCATGCAGTAGGTTGGAGCATTGCTGAACGTTTGCATATTTTTGTAATCCAATTTCTGCATTCATTTTGAATGCAGTGATGTGATCACAACATGATTCCTGCTTGTCACATTCATATCATGAACATTTGAATTTATCCTAACTTTGCAAGAGCTAAATGTCTTCAGAATGTGCTAAATCTCAGCATATCCCCTCCTTACTGTCCAATCCCCTCCTTACTGTCTCCCATGCTGTCAATCCATAGCTGCCTGTGACCATGAGGTCAAGGAAAATAGGAAGACTTTCCCTGGAACAAGTACTGCTGCTGCTACTAGCTGCCTGCCTTGTTATTCATTAAATTTATATACCGCCCTTCATCCTAAGATCACAGGGTGGTTTACAGTACAAAAACGCAGAATACATAACATAATAACAACAAAAAACCCCAGTAACACGTTTAGAAGACCATGGGTCTTTTATATTTTGGCGGAGGAAGTGTAGCCATTCACCAGGCCCAGCATTCACCACCCAATCCTACCTGTGATCCACCCAGTCCAACATCTCTGATCCTACCTCCTACCAGCTGGGGAGAAGATGTAGCAGGAGGGTAACTGGGTCTGTTCCTGACATCCCTGCTCACAAAATTCATTTGATGGTGTTCCTGACTGGTGAAGGGAATAATGACACTGGAAAAACAAGCAACTAATATTGCTTACCAGATCATTGAACATAGAAATGAGAAATGACTGGCATACAGTGCAAGGATAGGTATTGAGTTCTATGAAATTAATGCACTTTGCTTGAAAGTAACATTAAAAAAAAACCCTTTCCTCCTTTTGCAGCTCTGTTCTGTGATTACTATAATCCAAAAGAGGAGTGTGAGTGGCACTACCAACCTTGTGGCTCTCCTTGTATGAAGACTTGCAGAAACCCAAGTGGAAAATGCCTCCATGAGTTACAAGGCTTGGAAGGTACAAGGATTGTAGCTTTACCCTTGATCTACAAATGATGATTACAGGAAACTTAAAAGCTTCATTTTATATTAATTGTTATAAAAACTGTGGTTGCCCAAAACGAAATGCTTGATGCTTTGTGAATATGGGAAGTTTGGTTTAGGGAAAGGGAAGTTACTGTTTTGTCCCAGTTCAGGGGACAGGATCTAGCCCAGTGGAGGCATGTGCTACACAGAAAATTCAAGGTCACATACTGCTGGTCCCTGTCTGGGATTCAGAAGCAAAGCCAGATCAAGCAGAGATTGGGTTTCAGTGGGCAAGGTCAGATTCTGATGATCAGGGTCAGGCAAAGTAAAACACAGATCAGGTTCCACTGAGGTCATTCCAGCAAAGTAGAGAGTAGGTCCAGATAAACAGAGTCAAGTAAAGCAGAGGTTGGGGTCCAAAAAGGCAGATGAGCAAACAAACATAGTAGTAAAACCCTAGTTAGCTCCAAGTGAAATCTAGGCTGGACTGTTGTTCCAGCACCCAACTATCCTGGACTGAGCCTTAAGTAGGATTGCTGCTTTGATTGGGAAGCTAACTTCTTCCCTGATGCATAGAGCCCTTACAGTTAAAAGAGGCCCAGCCATTAGGTGCCATTCACTTTGGAAGCTTGGGGGAGACCAAGGTTCAGTTCTTGCCTCTAAGCTGGAGACCAGAGTTCGAGGAAGACAAGGCAACTTCTTCAAGGTGGAGAGGTGCAGGCATCATGTGTTCCTTTGATGCTAGAATACCCAAGGAGCCAGGAATGTCTAAAGCTGGTTCTGAGGTCAATCTTCCTTTTGGTCAAGAGATTCCCTCTGCATCCATGGCCTCTTCTCCTGAACCCCAGCCTTGCTAAATGACAGTTGCTTGAGATCAAGATATGGCAGGGATGGGCAGCCTGTGACCCTCCAGATGTTGTTGAACTACAGTTCCCATCATTCCTGACCCTTGGCCATGCTGGCTATGACTGATGGGAGCTTGAGTCCAACAATGTATGGAGGCCAAAGGTTCCTCATCCCTGGTTTATGGTGTGACAGCACCATACACAAAATCAGCTTAAAGGCTAACATTTGTGCAGGGTATGGTAAAAGCTCTCTTTCTTACCACAGGCTGCTATCCAAAGTGTCCAGCTGATAAGCCCTATTTTGATGAAGATGAGATGCAGTGTGTTGATCTTCCAGCATGCGGCTGCTTTGATGGCAAAGGAAACCACTATAAACCAGGAGAAAAAATGCCTTCACAAAAGAGCTGTGAATCATGGTAATGCTTGTCTGATGGGAATGAGAATGTGAATGTAAAAGTGCTCTATTTCATACTGCAGAAACAGGTTTGAGAAGGCAAAGTTTGGAAATGTTCTCCTTAGGATTAATCTGCTACAGCATGTCTTACTACATTATAATATGGGTTCCATTCTTCTCTCCTGTCCACCTCTTTTTGAACTTCTACTGTGGTAGAAAGAAAGTTTGCCTGAAGGCTCTAGTGAAATTACTACTGCTCTTTTCTTCACTTTCACTCAGCTAATTTGTTTCTCCTCTTCTGTAGGTTCTGGTGAGGATTCTCTACTAACCTACATGCTGTGCTTCTTCCTTTTATATAGGGACAGATTCTGATATTTAGGGCTGTGTACACACCATACAATGAAAGCACATTGAAAGCACATTCCCAACCCCAAAGATTCGTGGGATCTGTAGTTTGTTAAGTGTGCTGGGAATTTTAGTTCTGGGGGTAAACCACAGTTCCCAAGATTCTTTCAGGGGGAGATTTGCTTTAAATGTTTGTTATGTACACAGCCATTGTCCATGCTGATTAGTAGAATGAATAACCAACCAAATCAGCTTTAGGAATGACCGCTCCCCACATTAAGTAAGCCCTTCGTGTGGTCGCGCGCAGCCCCCTGGACCCTATGTGGCACCATTAGCACAGGCTTGGCTTCGCCTTCTCCAGGTGGGATACCTGGAGGTCTCCGCCAGTTGCCCAATCCTGCCTGGGGAGGCGTTGCCAAGGTGATCAGGCCAAGTAGGGGGAGGGACCACCTGCCCACACAATAGGGGGAGGACCTTACCTGGGAATCATCAGTTAGCCCCACCTTCTAAACAACAGCCAATATACCAATTGTTGGGGGGAAGGGGGTATCTGCTTTTACAAAAAGAAAATTAGAGTTAATCATTGGATGTTCCAAAAAGATAAATGATTCAATTTTAATTCCATTTACTTTGAAGTGCAGTCCATTTATTCCAATGGAACTTCCTTCCAACAGCAAGTAAGATGCAGTCTTTCACACACTCACCTGGAAAATGGAAGCTCTACTGCCGGGGTGGCCAACTCCCGAGAGACTGTGATCTACTCTCAGAGTTAGAAACCAGCAGTGATCGACCACCTTTTGGGGGGTTCTAGTCTAAGTTGTTGAGCTTTTTTAGGGAGGAGGAACACTTTCTTTAGGGGAGCTTCTTTGGGGGGAGCCCGTGATCTGACAGTGATCTACCACAGACGTTCAATGATCTACCAGTAGATCACAATCTGCTACTGGATGTCATGGAATTTAGTTCTGAGTAAATGAGTAAAACCAATTAGAGTCAAAGCCTAAAATTGCTTTCTCAATCCAAGTGTAGTAGTTTATTCAGAATTTCACCTCCATAGACATTCTTTTATACTGGTTGTATATGCCCCTGAGGGCACACTCCATTGTCTCTTGAGGCAGACGGATGCCAACAACTTATATAAGGAGGGCTGTTAGTGTCTTCTTTGCTCACTAAAGAAAATTAACTACCTTCAAATGTGTTTTCTTTCCTTTTAGCTATTGTTCCATGGCTGGCAAACCAGAGTGTCGATACGATGAACTTGGTATGTTCTCAGTGCTAAGTTTTAATATGAATTGTGAGTGATTTGGAACAGCCTTTTACATTTTAAGAAGTTTAATGCTGACAATTTCTTTTGAATGACAGAATGCCACTGCATCTATGAAGGGAAGATTAGCAAGCCGGGGGATGTCATCTACAACACAACAGATGGCATTGGAGGGTGCATCACTGCGATTTGCAGTAAGAATGGAACAATAGAGAGGAATATCTTCCCATGCACAACAACACCCACCACAACCACCACCACCACTGCACCAACCACTACCGTTTTTAACTTTTCCAGTACCTCTTCACCAGCAACCACTACTGCAGGTAAAAACTCTGATGATAGTGCAGTCATATGGTTCACTCCCTCCCTACCCTGTTCAGTGAAACCCATCTCCAGCACATTGGAATTAGTAGATTGTAGTAGAGTATAAATTTCAAGAGCATTACCCTGCAACGTTGTCTGTGGATTTCTGTAGTTTCTTTACCACCTTTTGCATAGCTGTATGGTACATTGCTATGGCGGAGACATAGTACTGCCTCCTGGAATGGTACTGCATGGGCGTTTTTACCCTTAGCATTTTCTGAGCTGGTGGAAATGAATACCAGCCATTCCAATCAATCTAGGAAGGGACGGGTGTTTTCTGGGAAGCCTGGATGAGAGGGCTACCTTTCCAGCTCCAGCAATGCAAAATATGACCTGTGCCTCTGTAGTTTAAATCTTTCATTTTTTACTGGTGTGAATAACTACTTGTAAGTAAATGTATATAGGATACTTTTAAGTAAGCCAATAAGCTGTGGTCCCTCCTGTGATGTGTTTCCAATCTCCCAAAGAGCTGAGGAGAAAAATGGAGGTGCTTCACTCCAGGTTCTCCTTGACTAATTTCTGGGCAACTTGCAGTACCCTGTTTATTCATAGTGCTCCCACCCATCTCATATGTGCTTCATTCAGTTTTCCTCCCATCTCAATCAGCTGCTACCCAGTTTCTTGATTCAGGTCTCTGAGGAGCTCCAGTCCCAGCAGCCCATATCACTTTTCCTTCTCATTTCCTCACTTGAACATTTTGATTTTACATTTTGTTCTTACAAAAGGAAATAGAGATATTTAAAAGCCTCTGTTACTCAGCAACTAGTTCCAGAGGGGTCCAATGGATTGGTTCAGTCCAGATGGCTCGGATGAACTGATTTAGTTAAACCCTCAAAGGTTGCTTCCAAACCACCTGTTTCTTGAGCATCCATTCTGATTTGTTTGCCAGGGAGGTTGGATAACACGGTTTCAAGCCAATGTTATCCCACCCTTTTCCAGGGCATTTCCCAGTCTCATTTGCAAGTAACTCAGTTTTAGAAGGGAGTGAGTTTGTTGCTCAAGAGCACCAAATCAATTGCACCAAATGAATTTGCTGGTATGTGCCTGAATCCCTCCTGGAAATGGTGGCAGTCTAGAAGAGCCTCAAGGAAACTTCCTTCTTACACACAGCTTCTACTGTACATGCTTAACATTTAAAAGTTTAAATAAGCATGAAAATACTAATGTGCCATTTTATCTTTTTACCCTCACAGTGCCTGTAACAACATCCGTTTGTGTTCAGGAAGTATGCCAGTGGTCACAGTGGTATGATGTGAGCCAGCCTGGCTCTGGAGATGATGGTGGAGATTTTGATACTTTTGAAAAACTACGAGCAGAAGGATATAAAGTCTGCAGAGCTCCAAGGGCCGTTGCCTGCAGAGCTGAGAAATTTCCCAATACTCCATTAAGTGAACTGGGCCAGAAAGTAGAATGCAGTAAAACAGTGGGGCTAATCTGTTACAACAAGGATCAGCATCCAATGAGCTGCCACAATTATCAAATCAAAATCCAGTGTTGTAGCTTTGAACCATGTGGCATTACGGCATCGACACCTGGGACTACGCACACAACAACACCAACTACTCTTCCTGTAACAACTCCTACTCCTGTAACAACACCAAAGCTACCACCTACCACAACTGTAGTAACCGAAACAACTAGCATCTCAACTACAACCCCAGCAACCACAACAGAAATACCACGGTCAACACCTTGTAAACTCACATGTAAATGGACTGAATGGTACGATGTGCACTTTCCCACTTTGGACAACAAAGGGGATTTTGAAACATACGACATCATTAAGGCTGCAGGAAAAGATATATGCCAAAAACCTGAACGTATAGAATGCAGGGCAGAGAAATATCCAGAGAAATCTATTGATGAAATTGGACAAACTGTTCAGTGCAACGTGACATTTGGCTTTGTCTGCAAAAATGAAGAACAGTCAGGAATCTTGCAGATGTGTTATAACTATCAGATCAAAGTATACTGCTGTTATACTGACTGCTTAACCACCACTCCAGAAACTACAACAGCAAGCACAAGTACTGTTTCAGTAACTACCACAGTTACCAGTACAACTCCAGAAACAACATCTACATCAACAGTGACAACTAAGCCAAAAACAACAACAGTCACAACAACACCTTCTACTACTAAATCTACAACCACAACTACTACAGCCACAACATCCACTACAATTCCAGAAACTACAACTGAAACAACACCTTCTACAACTAAAATTATAACCACACCCACAACAAAAGAAACAACACATCCAACTGTGTCAACAACTACATCAACAACCTCACAAATTACAACAAAAGGTACAACCATAGTGTCAACTACTTCTGAAGCAACAACACTAACCACAACACCTCCAACTACAACACAGTCACCAACAACAGTAACAACTGTTCCAGAGACAACAAAAAGTTTAGAAACGACAACAATTTCAACAACAGCCCCTTTGACACCTGAACAATGCACTAAGGAAGTTTGTGAATGGTCACAGTGGTATGATATAAGTTACCCAGGATCCGCACCAGATGATGGAGATTTTGATACATTTAAGAATATAAGAGCCAAAGGATACAAAGTCTGTAAGGCACCAAAAAATGTTGAATGCAGAGCAGAAAGATATCCTGATACACCACTAAATGAATTAGAGCAAAAAGTTACTTGCAGTAAAACAGAAGGACTCATATGTTACAACAAAGAACAACTTCCACCAATTTGCTATAATTATGAGATAAGAATTGAATGCTGTGAAAAAATAATTGTACCATGTCCAACAACCAGACCGCTAACAACTACAAAGCCTTTAACCTCACAAATGACGACCACCAGCAAAACAACCACAACAGCATCAACACCAATAACTACTACCAAAGAAAAGACTATTATTACACGAACTCAGACAACTACACAGCCATCAAAAGCACCGCTACTAAATGGAACAACATCAATCACAACTAAACCTCTACAAACAACAAAAGTCACAACAAGGACAACACCATTAATTACTACAAAACCTGAAACACCGAAAACTGAGCCGACAACTGAAGTTACAACAACGAAGCCAGCAACAACTACAAAATTGCAAACCACCACAACACAAACAACGGAAACAACCACCAGTGTCATCACAACAACAAAAGCAACCACCACACCTGTGGTAGTAAGCACGACTTTGCCTAGAATGACACCAGAAAGGACTACAATGGTGACAACCACCAGTGCCGCCACCACTCCCAAACCAACCACTACAGCTCCAGAAACGACCACCACCACACCAGTAACAACTACAGAACCCAAAACCACTACAAAACAGCCAACAACGACACCAACCACCACTCCTCGGCCAGTAAGCACAACCACCTTGCCCACGACCACTGTACCAGTCACCACAACAACTACCAAGACGACTACGACCTCTCCAGAAACAACAACTTGTGGACCTATATGTCAGTGGACCGACTGGTTTGATGTTGACTATCCCACTTCTGGACCTAATGGGGGTGACATTGAGACGTATAACAACATCCGAGATGCAGGTGGCAAGATCTGTGCCAAGCCATCAAACATCCAGTGCAGGGCTGAAAATCACCCTGACCTCAGCCTTCACCAACTCGATCAGATAGTAGAGTGTAATGTTGACTCTGGACTAGTTTGCAAGAATGATGAACAAATTGGGAGATTCAAGCAGTGCTTGAATTATGAGATACGGGTGTTGTGCTGTGAAGTAAACCCACTTTGCCCACCTACAACCATCCCAACCACCACCACTCCCAAACCAACCACGACAGCTCCAGAAACAACCACCACCACACCAGTAACAACTACTGCACCCAAAACCACCACAACACAAGCAACAACGACAACCACCACCACTCCCAAACCAACCACTACAGTTCCAGAAACAACAACCACCACACCAGTAACAACTACAGCACCCATAACCACCACAACGCAACCAACAACCACCACCACCACTCCCAAACCAACCACTACTGCTCCAGAAACAACAACCACAACACCAGTCACAACAACAGCACCAAAAACCACCACAACACAACCAACGACATCCACCACCACCACCACCACACCTCGGCCAGTAAGCACAACCACCTTGCCCACAACCACTGTGCCAGTCACCACCACAACAACTGAGACGACTACCACCTCTCCAGAAACAACAACCTGTGGACCAATATGTCAGTGGACTGACTGGTTTGATGTTGACTATCCCACATCTGGACCTAACGGGGGTGACATTGAGACATATAACAAGATCCGGGCTGCAGGAGGGAAGATCTGTGCCAAGCCATCAAACATCCAGTGCAGGGCTGAAAATCACCCTGGCCTCAGCCTTGACCAGGTTGGTCAGAAAGTTGAGTGTAATGTTGATTCTGGACTGGTTTGCAAGAATGATGAGCAAATTGGGAAATTCAGGCAGTGCTTGAATTATGAAATACGGGTATTGTGCTGTGAAGTAAACCCACGTTGCCCACCTACAACCATCCCAACCACCACCACTCCCAAACCCACCACTACAGCTCCGGAAACAACCAGCACGACACCAGTAACAACTACAGCACCCAAAACCACCACAACACAGCCAACAACGACAACCACCACCACCACCACTCCCAAACCAACCACTACAGCTCCAGAAACAACAACCACCACACCAGTAACAACTACAGAACCCAAAACCACTACAAAACAGCCAACAACGACACCAACCACCACACCTCGGCCAGTAAGTACAACCACCTTGCCCACAACCACTGTACCAGTCACCACAACAACTACCGAGACGACTACCACTTCTCCAGAAACAACAACTTGTGGACCTATATGTCAGTGGACCGACTGGTTTGATGTTGACTATCCCACATCTGGACCGAACGGGGGTGACATTGAGACGTATAACAAGATCCGGGCTGCAGGAGGGAAGATCTGTGCCAAGCCATCAAACATCCAGTGCAGGGCTGAAAATCACCCTGGCCTCAGCCTTGACCAGGTTGGTCAGAAAGTTGAGTGTAATGTTGATTCTGGACTGGTTTGCAAGAATAATGAGCAAATTGGGAAAATCAGGCAGTGCTTGAATTATGAGATACGGGTGTTGTGCTGTGAAGTAAACCCACGTTGCCCACCTACAACCATCCCAACCACCACCACTCCCAAACCAACCACTGCAGCTCCAGAAACAACCACCACCACACCAGGAACAACTACAGCACCCAAAACCACCACAACACAGCCAACCACCACCACCACTCCCAAACCAACCACTACAGCTCCAGAAACAACCACCACCACACCAGTAACAACTATAGCACCCAAAACCACCACAACACAGCCAACCACCACCACTCCCAAACCAACCACTACTGCTCCAGAAACAACCACCACCACACCAGTAACAACTACAGCACCCAAAACCACCACAACGCAACCAACAACAACCACCACCACCACCCCCAAACCAACCACTACTGCTCCAGAAACAACCACCACCACACCAGTAACTACTACAGCACCAAAAACCACCACCACACAACCAACAACGACAACCACCACCACCACACCTCGGCCAGTAAGTACAACCACCTTGCCCACAACCACTGTGCCAGTCTCTACCACAACAACTGAGACGACTACCACCTCTCCAGAAACAACAACTTGTGGACCTATATGTCACTGGACCGACTGGTTTGATGTTGACTATCCCACTTCCGGACCAAACGGGGGTGACATTGAGACATATAACAAGATCCGTGATGCAGGAGAGAAGATCTGTGCCAAACCATCAAACATCCAGTGCAGGGCTGAAAATCACCCTGACCTCCGCCTTGACCAGGTTGGTCAAGTTGTCAAGTGTAATGTTGACTCTGGACTGGTGTGCAAGAATGATGAGCAAATTGGGAAATTCAAGCAGTGCTTGAATTATGAGATACGGGTGTTGTGCTGTGAAGTAAACCCACTTTGCCCACCTACAACCATCCCAACCACCACCACTCCCAAACCAACCACGACAGCTCCAGAAACAACCACCACCACACCAGTAACAACTACAGCACCAAAAACCACCACAACACAACCAACAACGACAACCACCAGTACCACTACACCTCGGCCCGTAAGTACAACCACCTTGCCCACAACCACTGTGCCAGTCACCACCACAACAACTGAAACGACTACCACCTCTCCAGAAACAACAACTTGTGGACCTATATGTCACTGGACCGACTGGTTTGATGTTGACTATCCCACTTCCGGACCAAACGGGGGTGACATTGAGACATATAACAAGATCCGTGATGCAGGAGAGAAGATCTGTGCCAAACCATCAAACATCCAGTGCAGGGTTGAAAATGACCCTGACCTCCGCCTTGACCAGGTTGGTCAAGTTGTCGAGTGTAATGTTGACTCTGGACTGGTGTGCAAGAATGATGAGCAAATTGGGAAATTTAAGCAGTGCTTGAATTATGAGATACGGGTGTTGTGCTGTGAAGTAAACCCACGTTGCCCACCTACAACCACCCCAACCACCACCACTCCCAAACCAACCACGACAGCTCCAGAAACAACCACCACCACACCAGTAACAACTACAGCACCAAAAACCACCACAACAGAACCAACAACGACAACCACCACCACCACCACACCTCGGCCAGTAAGTACAACCACCTTGCCCACAACCACTGTGCCAGTCACCACCACAACAACTGAGACGACTACGACCTCTCCAGAAACAACAACTTGTGGACCTATATGTCACTGGACCGACTGGTTTGATGTTGACTATCCCACTTCCGGACCAAACGGGGGTGACATTGAGACATATAACAAGATCCGTGATGCAGGAGAGAAGATCTGTGCCAAACCATCAAACATCCAGTGCAGGGTTGAAAATGACCCTGACCTCCGCCTTGACCAGGTTGGTCAAGTTGTCGAGTGTAATGTTGACTCTGGACTGGTGTGCAAGAATGATGAGCAAATTGGGAAATTTAAGCAGTGCTTGAATTATGAGATACGGGTGTTGTGCTGTGAAGTAAACCCACGTTGCCCACCTACAACCACCCCAACCACCACCACTCCCAAACCAACCACGACAGCTCCAGAAACAACCACCACCACACCAGTAACAACTACAGCACCCCAAACCACCACAACACAGCCAACCACCACTACCACCACCACTCCCAAACCAACCACTACTGCTCCAGAAACAACAACCACAACACCATTAAGAACTACAGTACCCAAAACCACCACAACACAACCAACAACGACAACCACCACACCTCGGCCAGTAAGCACAACCACCTTGCCCACAAGCACTGTGCCAGTCAGCACCACCACTACCGAGACGACTACCACCTCTCCAGAAACAACAACTTGTGGACCTATATGTCAGTGGACCGGCTGGTTTGATGTTGACTATCCCACATCTGGACCTAACGGGGGTGACATTGAGACGTATAACAAAATCCGGGCTGTAGGAGGGAAAATCTGTGCCAAGCCATCAAACATCCAGTGCAGGGCTGAAAATCACCCTGACCTCCGCCTTGACCAGCTTGGTCAGAAAGTTGAGTGCAGTGTTGATTCTGGACTGGTTTGCAAGAATGATGAGCAAATTGGGAAATTCAGGCAGTGCTTGAATTATGAGATACGGGTGTTGTGCTGTGAAGTAAACCCACGTTGCCCACCTACAACCATCCCAACCACCACCACTCCCAAACCCACCACTACAGCTCCAGAAACAACAACCACGACACCAGTAACAACTACAGCACCCAAAACCACCACAACACAGCCAACAACGACAACCACCACCACTCCCAAATCAACCACGACAGTACCAGTAACACCAACTGCCTGTTTCTGCAAGATTAATGAAACCATTTACAGACGTGGTAAGTAACCAATGTAGATTTCTATGGACTGTGCACATCATTTTTTACTTTAAATTATAAAAATAATATTGCTTATGGATTCATTTGCATATTTTTTCCACATTTTTGCTAAACCCTCCTTTCTTTAATACAGTCCATTGTTCATTATTCTTTCATTATTTTGTGCTACTACTTTGTATGTTAAAAATATTTACAGTCTAACACTTTGATTCCCTTTTGTAGGTGATACGATTTACAATAAAACAGACAGTGATGGTTGCCTTTTCACTGCTGTTTGTAGTAAGACATGTTCTGTTGAGAGATCCAAAGGTCCATGCAAACTAACAACACCAAAACCCACTCCGACAGTTGTTGTCACAACCCCCACCCCCACCACTACCATTGCCACTACCACTACCACCACTGAGCAACCTGGATGCCCAGATGCTAAACCACCCTTAAAGGTACCAATCTCTTTTCATCTTGATTTGAAATAATGTTTTCCATTTGGAAGTTGATGCACAGAAAGCTACAGGTTGGGTACCTGGAAATACTCAATAGGGCAACAGGGATTAGCCTTACTTCTTCACAGTGCTTATCTCTTGGCTGGTTCGTGATTAGGTTTGCATTCACCTGAATGCTGTGTAGGGGTGTAACTCCAGTTATCCATGAAGTTTTACCAGCTCTGAACCTGAGTGCTCCAGTCCTGGGGGTGGGGACATTTTCAAACTTTGTATCAAGTGAGCCCTCTTATTTGTGCAGTACAGGTGTGGGAATAGTGGTGGATTTTCTCTCTTTATTGTGTAGGAAGAAATTGTCTCTAGATCAGTTCTGCATGTCATGACTTTGGGGGCTTTTAATATAATATTTGCTAAGGTGTTCCGACCCCCCCATGATGAGGGTTTAGCATGTGCATTCAAAAAGTCCAAGCCAGAGGTGCTCTTGGGAAATCCAGTAAATGGGTTGCCTAGGTTGCCCAGTGACTATCCCGGTATTTTAATATCTGTCATGTGACAAGCGGTTGTCGGGCTGAGGAGATACATAGGCTGAGGCTTCATAACCAGGTGCCTGGAAGTGCTTGGACCTCACAGGAATACTCTAGCAGGGGAATGCCCAGAGTGGCTCTGCTTGATTCAGTGTAAATCAGAAATCAATGCAAATCAGAACAATTTGTTACGATGCATATAATGTGGTGAAAATTATGATAATCTGGACCATTAACTGCCTAATCAACTGCTTCAAACAATCCCTCTCACAATTCTCCTCTGCAAATCTTAATGTCACTTAGACTATAATCCAGTCCACACATAGCTGGAAATGTGTTTCGGTGGGACTAACTTCCAAAGAGGCATTTACAGGACTACGTTGTTGTTATTATTGGAAATTTGCTGAAAGGGTATTATTGGAAATTTGCTGAATATTCACCAAACAATATTTGTTATTTAACTGTGCCGTGGTAGCTGATATGCAATAGTATTTCATATTTAACAGTATTTGCTGGGGGCCAATGGGGCAGAAAAGATATGTGCAGTAGCCTGTGTTAAAATCACTTGATATAGCCTTGGAGGAGATGTTAAACGAAACAAAAACAAACTAAGACAGGTGGAATAAACCAAGGAACCAGAAATTATTTATGACTTTGTACATAGAACGTAAGTAATTCAACAAAAAATATAGCAGGATTAAGGAGTTTTGCATAGTAGACCCAGACTACACATGCCAAAATTCATAGATATGACTAATATAGGTCCATTAATTTCAATGGGACTACTCTAAAGTTTAATTGGATACAACCCAATGTGTTTTATTAATAATATTCAATAACTGTCATTCCAGTGGTGTAAAGGGCAGTATTCAGCACACTCATTCTGCCAGTGCAATGACTTTTGGCTGCACAACAGTACTTTCGCTCCCTCTTTTCTTGCAATACCCCTACCTGCCGACCTGGAGGGATTTGGGGAAGGTGACCATGGGATGAGGAGAGGGGGGGGAGTGTGTGCAAGTAGAAATCCTTTCACTCATGGAACACGTGCATTGGATACCACCGCAAATATTTGATAATGATAGTTCAATAATAGGCAATAGTGTTTAGTACCGGACAATATTTGACAGGTGGCAGCATCAAAATGACCAAGTGCTGAAGACCTTTAGCCCTCCATTCTATTGGGCTACAACTGCAACCATCCCTGACCATTGACCATGCTAGCTGATGGGAGATGGAGTTCAGCAACATCTTGAGAGCCACAGGTTCCCCATCCTTGATGTAGGTGCAAAGCTTCTATGGTTAACCTCTGATTGGTTGGTGCTGAAGAAAACTAGATACCAGGAGATTTCTGAAGTAGGATGCATTCACTTGTACATGTATAAATGGTATAAATAAGCAGGAACCAAAGAAGAAGTGCCTATCAGTTATATATAAAACTGTACATAAAGCTTAGCTGGGCCTAACTTTATGTGTCAGTGGCAACAATGTCTTTCTCTTCACAGACTGGTGACAAATGGGTATCGAACTGCACCGTATCAACTTGTGAGGGAAACAATAAGATTTCTGTAAAGCAAGTACAGTGTCCACCAGTGAGGAATATTGTTTGTGAAAATGGGTACCCACCAATCAAAGTCTTCAGTGAAGATGGCTGCTGTTATCACTATGAATGCGAATGTGAGTGAAAATAAATCTCTAAAGAAGCACTCATGACTCCGTTTTCATGGTGCAAACATTACCTCAAACATACTCTTGTTTGAGTCATTGTTTATGCTTTCCTTAAAGTCTAACTTAAGTCCTAATGGTTAACATCTCCCCCTCTAATTTATCAGGTGTTTGTAGCGGCTGGGGTGATCCTCACTATATCACATTTGATGGAACGTACTACACTTTCCTGGACAACTGCACATATGTGTTGGTGCAGCAGATTACACCTAAATACGACAACTTCAGGGTTCTAATTGATAATTACTTCTGTGATGCTGAAGATGGACTTTCATGCCCTCAGTCTATCATTGTTTACTACAAAACTTCAGTGGTAGTGCTAACCCGCAAACTCTTTGATGGTGTGGAAGCTAACAAGGTAAAAAAAAAAAAGTACACTACTTGAATTGCTTCTTTTGATGTATTATTTTATAGAAAATGCAACAGGACTGAAGGAGCTAGGCATATTTACTTTAGTGAGTAAAGGGAAACCCAAGACAAAGCCCACACTCAAGAGAAAATGATTAGCTATGTCTTAGAATTTTCAGTAGGTGTACTGTATAGCAGCCTTCACTCATCTGGTCCTGCCTGAGGTTGATGGGGGTTATAGTCCCTGGGTTACATGAGGACTGAGTCTTTAGATGATGAACATGCATGAGTAAGCCTGTCCTATATTTCTACCCCCATCTGAGAAATCAGAAATTTACTGCAAGATCAGAAATGTAGATTTCTGAAGTTAAAACATTGCTATCTCATTCTTATTAGAAAATGTTATTGATCTTCAACAGAGTGAAATCTCTCCTAGATTAGTTATGGCCAACTGTAAAAAGGCTATGTGCAAGTCAACTCACTTACATTAGATTAGTTTAGGGACACAAGGAGTCAGATAAAATGTGAACAACACGTTTTGTGAACAAAAATCTGAATGGTGTGTCAGCTGTGAAAAGCAGCATTGTACATATTAAATAGCACAGCAAGACTGGGATTCAAAGTGATTTTCAGTCTCACAATTCCTAACACAATCACACTCCTCCTTTCCTTCTTAGACATTCAGGGGACCCTGTGCAGTGGTATTCCTTGAGACACAGTAGGCTATCACAAGAAGGGCAAATTGTCAAACATCTTATGTGGATGCAGAAGTGCTGCTTGTGTAGATTCAATTAATGTACATTAAGTTTATTTTTGTAGAGCAAGTGGAATATAATTTCCATAATAAATAATTTAACAACATATCTACAAAAGTAGATAAATTACTTTTTTAAAAAGCATAGCAAAGCAAAGAGAATTCCTCATTGTTGCAACATTAATCTCATTTACAGATCTACTTCGATGATAAGATTGTCAACCCAGGCTTCCAGAAAGACGGCATTTTTGTCTCCATGGTTGGTGTCAACATGGTAGTTGAGATTCCTGAGCTTGGGGCTGTCATCACCTTCAGCGGTTTGATCTTCTCAATAAAACTTCCATATAGCAAATTTGGCAACAACACCGAAGGACAGTGTGGTAAGGGAAAATAATGCTTTACTCCCATGAAAATGCATGTTGTTCCGTCAACCATTGGTTCACTCTTTGGAACCAATTACCAATTTAAAGTTAAGTCAGAACCATGTTTTTCATTTTAGTTTCACTTTTGTTGTTTTCGAAAAGCACCTTGGTTTCTCTGTTTGACTGCCCCTCCTCCTCAAAATCTCATTTATTTCCCCCCAAATCCGGGATGCCAGGTATCCTGGATACTGCTGAAAATTTTGAGAAGGAGAAAACTCAGAATGGAATAGCACAAGATTTGCTTCAAAAGAAAGGAGAATGTTTCTTCAATCAATAGCATGATTTAAATGTTATGTATTTCAGTGATTCTAGCATCGCACTGAATGCAAAACACTGCGTAGTTTGTTGCAAATATATAAAACTCTCCACCTTCAATTCTGTTCTGATTCTGTTTTGTTTTCCCCCAGGTACCTGTACAAATGACAGAAAAGATGAATGTCGCTTACCAACTGGCGAGATAACTAGTTGTCCCTACATGGCTCCCCATTGGAAAGTCGATGATGAGAAGAAGAACTACTGCAAAAACAAAACAGTACTTCCTGTCACACCAACACCAGCAGTACCTTGCAAACCTTCCCCTGTTTGCGATATAATTCTGAGCGAGTAAGTTGGAAAATTGTTCTAATGTATGCTTTCCTGCTTAGATAATATAATAAAAGTAGCCTATGGAAGGAGAAGGGGAAATAATGTTAACGTCTGATGCACAACTTTCTCGGGGTCAGCTCTACTGAATAGAGTGGGATGTAGTTCTGAGCCAACATGCATAGGATTTCTCTGTACAAGAGCACAGCTATATAAAAGGCCCTTTAGCTCAAGTTCTAGACAGCCCTACCTCTTACTATAAAGGTCTGCGGGGCGGAGGGTGTCTTAACACATCTAGCTTCACAGTTCTTCAAGCCTGCATATCAAACCCACAAATTCACTGAAAAAAATCAATTTACAGCTATAATAGGGTTGCCATATTTCAAAAAGTGAAAATTTGGATACAAACGTTGTTGACCGAATCCCAGCTATATCCGGGAAATTCCGGGTGTATGGTAACCCTAAGTTATAATATTCTTGTTGCTGTTATTGGAAATTTGGCTTGTGAAACTTTGTTTGAAAGTTAGTTTGCGACAACCCTTTTTTTTAAAGGTTCCTGGGAGACCTTTGATGCAATCAACTCATTTGCTGTGCATTTAAAGCAGACTTGTTTTGCACCATACCACATCTTTCTTCCAGAAAGCTACAATTCTGTTGTGAATATAATTGAAATTAGTGAAAGCTGAATTTCATGTGCGTGAAATTCTATACCATGATGAACATTCAGTCCTGAGAAACCTTTTTTAAAAATCCTGTTTTCCAGCTCTTCAAATCCCAGAAGTGAAAATAGTCATATTCAAAAATGTATGTTCATGTCAAGTGTTTATGATATCTTTTACGGAGTTTTCCCTGATTATCAGTCTTTGTGATTATTATTTTTTACAGAGTCTTCTCTGATTGCCATCAAATCATACCTCCAAAGCCCTTCCACCAAGGTTGCTCCTTTGATTCTTGCCACATAGTCAATACCACCATGCAGTGTTCAGGCTTAGAGATATATGCTTCACTCTGTGCCTCTAAAGGTGTTTGCATTGACTGGAGAGCGAAGACTAATGGTTCATGCCGTAAGTACCGGAGTGTTAATCAATGCCACAGTTTCTCCACAAATTATACAGCCATGGGAGCCTTGTTCATTAAATACTTTGCATGTGTCAGTTTTATTTTTGTAAATAGATCCATCTTAGGGAATTGTAGTTTAATGACTAAAATACAGAAAGATGAGAGGACATTCTCAGCCTTTGAGAACCTCTTCAGCTATACATTTACTGAGGCTTTAAGAGGGCAGATGTCCAAATGAGAACTAGAGTCTGGGCCCTTCTGGTTCATTTAAGTATAGTGTTCTGTCTTTAGGATCACAGGAATGTGCCATCATGTTCACAGGAAGCATATCTAATAAAAACAATTATATGAATAGAAGCAGAATATATGGCAACTAAACATGTTGAAATGTGGCTAGAATTTTAGGGTGTTGGTTTCCGTTTGCTTCTTTTTAACAAAGAGACCCTCCCATGCCATTAACTACCAGTAAAAGGAGAGAAAGAGTGTGGGGAAGGTCATACTGTAGCTGCAGTAGCTGTAAATGTAAAGTGTATCAAAGTATGTCTTTATGTTCACCTTGGTTTATTTTTCTCACCATGTTTAGCATACAGCTGTCCTGAAGGCAAAGTATATGACCCATGTGGCCCTATCAACCCTCCCACATGTGATAATAGGTAAGGAAAGAACGGAATCTCTGTTTAGGTCTGTTTCACTCCAGTTGTTGGAGCCAGTGTTATGTAGTCAATAGCATGCTGGATTTGAAGTCAGTTCAGAGTCGTCACGCTCTTAACAGTGCTGATGATTCAAGGCACAGACTGAATTTTCACATTGCAAAAGGGTGCTGTATGACCGTAACCCATGCTTTCTTTCTGCAGCAGGGCTAGTCAGCATAATGGCACTGGCATAGTTGAAGGTTGCTTCTGTGCTCCTGGAACCAAGCTCTTCAACTCCTACAATGATATCTGTGTAGAACAATGTGGTGAGTGTTTTTGTTTCAAGGACAGAAGAGAGTACCACACTGCAGCAACACTATATGGAGTGGAGGGTTCCTCAGCTGCAATTCAGGTCAGCCTAATCTAGGTAGCCTCAGCAGGGAGACAGAAGCACCCTTAGAAACCCAAGAGAAAGTGATTTCCAGAAACAACAGGAGTAACTCAATAAGCCGTAATAATCACTCAAGAGAATGCCATGTGATCAGTGGTCACCTTGTACGAGTTTCAGAAGGAAATGGAGTCTTGATACAATGAGGAATTTCCATGTATCCTTCAAACATGACATCCCCGGCTATTGTAGATACAACTTTCATGCCCACAACCTCCAGAGGGATAGTCATGTTAGTCTGTTGCAACAAAAATAGCCGAAGAATCTTGCAGCAGCTTAAATAATTATAAATGACAGGCAGGATTCAACGAATGAGCCGTGCTAGCAGAAGCCTGCACAAGGTCTTCCACCAAGGCAGCAAGGCATTCCCTGTTTCTCCTCCCTCCATGCAACCCTGCATCTGGCTCTGAAGGAGTCGAGAAATGCTTATGCTGACTTAACTAGCACTATGTTGAATTCCTCCCACAGAGTTGTTTAGTCTTTAAGGCACCACAAGAACTTTTGTTGTTCTTTCTGGTACAGTTCAGTCTCAGCAGCACCTCACAGTCCCAGCACCTTTCCACTGCCCTTTGACCCAGATAACAATGCCAGATGGCGCTGTGGCCTGTTTGCTCAGGTAGCTAAATTTGCTCCAGGACTCTTGAGGAACAGCAGTGCAAAAAATCTCTGTTATTACATTTCTTTCAGGTTGTACTGGACCAGACGGGATGCCCAAAGAGGTAACTAAAAATATGTACTTTATGAAATGTGGATGGGTCACCTCAGAAGGTGTTGGGAGCAGAGGCCAATTCAGGGCAGCACAACTGGTTCCGCTGTGCTGGGTGCCAAGCCTAGGGGGCGCTGCAACTATGATGTAGTGAATTGAGTAGAACAGAAGGTGAGGGGTCTCACCCAGTAGAGAGTGCCTCTTTTAAGATGCATCTACAGCCCCCCCCAGTGATTGTACAGTAATTATTATGGCTTTAATAAGCCGATTAATAGGAGGCACCCTTTTTGTAAAAAAAAAATTGAGTAAGTAACTAAACTGATTATTCAGCTAAGTATTTACAGCCTTGATATATGTTGATGGCACTCTTTCTGACATGATCTCTGACAAGGCAAATTTAGGGAAGATGTGTCTTATTTTCTTTTAAATACCTTTTTTTTAATTATTTTTTTTTGCAGCCTGGAGCAAGCTGGATCAGCAACTGCCAGGAGTGTACTTGTGAAAAATATACTCTTAAAGTGCAGTGTACACCAAAGATATGTGCAACACCTGTCCCAGCACGCTGTGAATTTGAAGGCTTTGTGCCTGTCAGCGTCACAACACCTGAAGATAAATGCTGTCCTCAGATGAAATGTGGTAAGTACAATCTCTTGCCTGTTTGAAACAAAATATATCATGCTTCAATCTGGTGCTGCATGAGCGGAAGACAGCTCACACAACCGATCTTCCCCTTCCCTTCCTTTCTACCTCCTGCATCCTCCTAAAAAGCCTTTTTTCCGGGGCTGATGGTGGGGGGACTGCTAAATACTATGGGCAATGTTATCTAGGTCTGAAGTGAGAGGGTGGAAATGCCCAGAATCAGCTGGAGAAATCTTGTACCAATGTTAGTTTTCTCTGCCCATTTTTGGGTGATTCTTTCCTCCTACTGAAACTGCAAATGACATAATCTTCCACATACATACATACATACATACATACATACATACCCTATCCTTTCTCCTGGGAGTTTCAAGGTGACTACCCAACATATCCCATGCTGTCTAGTAGAAGAAGCTATCACTTCTCAGCCTGTTGGCTTAAGAGGCTTGTGTGGGTACGGGGGACTGAAGAGGGAGGAGGCAAAAGGGAAAGGTCCATTATGCTTAATTTCCTTCTGCTTCTGCAATGTCGGATGCAATCCATTGCTCAAAGCAACCACTTCCAAATGGGTACCTTTTTCACTTAGGTAAATTCCCATTAGTTACACCACAGGAGGTCCTACAATTGGACTGAAGCCCTGTGCTACAAATCATAGTGGTTAATCTATCCATACTACAGGAGTGCTGGTGGGCAGAGTTGGGCAACCTGTGGCCCTCCAGCTGTTATTAGACTGCATCTCCATTGGCCACAGGGGCTGGGAGTTGGAGCCTGAAAACATCCTGTAGAGATTCACGCCTCTTCTTCAGACACGGAAGCAGATGTTTCTCTGGACATAACTGGAGTGTTGAAAAATGCCCTGTATGTTGTTGTTATAATGAAAATATCCTGCCTTTCTTTTATGGCTTTATTATTATTTTTTGCCTTGTATAGTATGCAACACTAGTTACTGTCCTGAATCCATTGAGACCTGTCCAGTAGGATATGAATTAAAACAACAAAAGCTGCCAGGAGATTGCTGCATTAAAGCCACTTGTGGTAAGAACTGAAACATGACATTTCTAAGGAGTATTTGAAACTTCTCTCCCCTCCCCCTTCCCTCTCTCTTCCTCTCTTTCTACAACTCCCCACCCTCCAGATGAGTCATATTCCATCCCCACCTCCCATGCTATGAACTGGCATTTCAGTGGCCGTTTTGCCTCCTCAATTGTTTTTATTTCCTGTTGCAAGAATCCTGAAATTGTTCTGAATAAGCAGATGCTTAATTTGTTATATATCTCATATCTTCTGAGAAGCTGGTCAATTAAGCTGCTGCTGGCAAGTCCCGGTTTTGTTGGGGCTTCTTTTGCAATGGGGCTATTTTGTAAAATTTTCTTTTGGGAGAGGATATTTTGTAACATATACACACACATTTCTGCAAACCTGCATAAGGTAGGGTTTCCAGAACCTCAAGCTGAATCCTTACTGCTTGTGTACTTGATCCTGGCATGGTTACTAGGAGTAGACATTAGGGTGGATCCATCCATTTCCTGCCCACATCACTTTCATATGTGTGTACCCATAAACCCATACCATCACCATGAATGTTCAAATTTAAATACCTGTTTACATTTACTAAACAAATTTTCTCCCAAACCATATATTATTTAGGATATATATTTCTCTCAAAATATGTATGGTATTTAAATGAATATTTTGAAATATTCAAATTACTGAGAACTGCATTGTGGCTTTCAGTGAAGTTTAAAATCTGGTGGATAGTTAAGTTCGGATCTGTGCATTAGTATGAGTGGTGCACATCAGGTTAGTTTGTACTGTACTTCCCAAAAGACTGAATTCCTCAAACAACTCTACTGGAAGAACCCATTGCACACTCATCAAGAAATCATTTGAATCACAGCTACATTGGTACTTCCTTGTTTGCCTTCAAAGGTTCTGGACACACTATATATCCTGGTAACATTAGTTTACCTCTCACAGAGCTACAATTCCCAGAATCCTTGGCAAATTACCATTTCCAGAATTATTTGAGCCTGTGGCTGAGAATGTGTTTTACATGCATTTAAAATGCATACTCTGTAGCGTACACAGCAATATTCCATTCTTATCACTGAAAAGAAAATTTTAAGATTCATTCCATTGCACCTTTCTGTTTTACAGTGAAAATACCCGGCTGTATTGACAAAGGCATATTCTACAAAGTAAGTACATTTTATAATAATGAATGCTAGAAGCAATAATTTGTTTGTTTGTTTGGTAAATGTATAAATCACTTGCTCACAAAAACAGTCCACGGCTGAATAAAGCAAAACTAGATTACACAAACCAATAAAAAAAGAAATATACATAAAGCATTATTTTAAAAATAAAATTAAATTATTTATTAAGAAAATGATCTGCACAGAAATGATTGATGCCATAGGCACTGTGGGCCCCCTCAGTGTCTTTTTGTTGTTGAGGGGGCTGGGCCCCCATATTGGTGGAGTTGGGCATGGAACAATGTCAGCATGTTGTGTGATGCTGTGCTCGCAATGTCAGGACATTGCATCTTTGCCCTCAACGTGCTTCAGAAGATGGTGCCTCTGATTGATGCGGATTAATAGTGAGTGTGTTTAGCCCTCCATGAAAAGCTTTTAGAAGTTGTGATGTTACTGGGGGGAAACCCTGCATATCTTCCTTTGATTCAAACTATGAATTATAAGCTTTCACAGTAGAAATACTTTAGCATCCAAGAGAATTCTCAGTGTATCCTGCATTAAGGTGCAGAATTTTCCTGCCTTTAAATAAGTTGCCTATCAGTTCAGATCAAAGGAAGGCTCTAGAACCCTACATTTCTTTTTCATCCCAGATTAACAATTCCAAATCCATTCCACAATCCGTAGATAAATATACCCCTTTCATGGAAACATTTATGCATCCCAGTAGAAAGAAAAAACCACCTTGGTTCATAAGTTGAAAAGGGGCCTGCTGGTTGCTGGGGTTCTTTCAAAGAATCCTGAGCTAGATGAAGCAAGACAATCCACACATTTTCAAGCATTCTTAGGATTAAATGAGCTTGTATACTCAAGATTAAATGAAGAAGTTGCATCCAATTGGTGATTCTTCACTGACAGAAAGCTCTATGATCCAGTGGGTGCTTCTGTCAGCAGAACAGAAAGAAAAGCAAATGACAGTTTTTACCCCTCCTACTGTGTCACTTTGCCCCCCTCCCAAGCCCCAAACACTTCAGAGTGTTGGGGAACCCCACAGAACAACATGGCAGGTGGTGCAGGAAGCAGGGGAGATAATCACTAAATCACCTCCGTGATCATGACACTTATGGAAGCCTATGCTGGGTCAATGGGCTTTCTGTTGGTGGAGGAAGACCAGTTGCATACATTTGTGATATTTCTGATTTATGAAAACAGTTTAGAATTATTTAGGACCATTTCTCCTCTGCCCTTCTTTAGCCTGGAGCAGTTGTTCCAAGAGGCCTCTGTGAAACGTGCAGATGTTCTGTTGAGCAAGATCCAGAAAGCCAAATAAACACGGTGGAATGTGTGTCACAAGCATGTGACAAAAACTGCCCAGTGGTAAGTTAGTGTTACAAACTGTTTTTGTAAATTGCCAGCTTTTCAGGAATTTATCTGCAAACCTAGCTATTTCACCTCCTTGATCTTATGAATCTCTTTCCATATTTTCTCAAATACAGGCCCAAGAATACAAGGAAATCCCTGGACAATGCTGTGGTAAATGCTCAGCGGTAGCATGTGTTATAAAAGAGGGATCCAGTGTTCAGGTTATCAAGGTAGCTGATGTTTTATGAATACCCATACATGCAATCTCATGTTCTGTCATACTTGTGTTTCTCATGCTTGGAGTGGAAGCTTACTAGAGGCCATGAACGATATTAACTGAAGCAAGAATTAATAGATCTGCATTTAAATTCCCATAGTTATCTTTTCCTACCATTGCCTTTTTCTGCTCCATTGGATGTTTTGAGTGCAAATCTTTAGTATAAATCTTTTTGGCTTGTGAAACTTTGTGCTATATAAAAATAGTAAAAAGGGAGAAAAAAGAAGCTGCCCTATCAGATGGTTGGTCCATATAGCCAATGTTGCGTTGACTCCCCACATTCTGTGAAGGAGATACCAATGCCTTTTTAATTTGAAGTGTAGTTTTTATTGTAGCTTTATTAATGAATATAGCCTAGTGTTGCCTAGTCTGATTAGAAAGGACTCTCCTAAGTCTTAGACTTGCAACCTGAAATCCCTGAGAGGTGCCAGCAATTGAACCTGGAGCCTTCTACTGCCTTCTACCGAGTCTGACCATTGGTCTGTCTAGCTCAGAAGTGTCTAAACTCACTGGCTCTCCAGAATTTCTTTTCCTTTTCCGCTACCACTCAGCCTATGTTCTCTCCCAACCTTCTTAGGGGGGAAAACCCCAAAATTTCAAGCAGGGCTCTCCCTCAGCCCTACTTGGAGATGCATGGGATTGAGTCTGTGGCTGAAGCTCTGCCACTGACCTACCACCCTCCCCATAAAGTGTGGGAAGCATGTGGTCATCCACCACTTGAACCCACCCCACTCCAGAGAGAATGCTTGAAAGTAAGATGCCACATGTGACCAAGCTATGCCTTCAGATATTTGATCACACAATCTGTTTCTCTTGACAGAACACAGTCATGAGTATCTGGGGGCAGAATTCTGACTCTGCGTGCCTGAGCTAAAGGGTTTATATATGGTCAAATCCTTGTGTCAGGGAGGCCAATTAAGTCACATTTAGCCAAGTGATGCCAAACTGTTTCACAGTGCAGTTTGTCATGAAGATAGGCATGGAGAGAGAGAGAATGTGTGTATTTGTGCATTTGAGACAACCAGAGACCATGAAGCAATGAAAGAAGGCACTCAATTGTATCAACAAATCCACATGGGGTTTCTTCCTTCCTTCATCTGTGTAATATGCACAATGATGAAAACAGATGGCAAAAGCAGAGGACATGTTCTGTTAGAGTTTGATAAAGGTAGCTCAGTAGAGCTGAGTGGAGGCAAGCAAACCTAGCTGTGAATATGAAAGCTATATTCTTTCCCATATAGTTTTCATAATGACCTTTCCTTATTATAGTAAATTTATCATAAATTTCCTTTGCTTTTTTACCCCATCTGTATTATCTTAGTGATACAATCAAAGCCCTTTGAAGGACATAAAAATCATGTGTCAGCTTCTAATAACATAATTATAACTCTGACTTTTTTCAGCCTGGGGAGATTTGGAATCATCCAGGAAACAACTGCACTACTTATGAATGTGAATTGATTGAGGACCAGTATATTCCTGTCCCTACCAAAAGACCCTGCGCTCCACTTAACTGCCCACCTGTAAGTTTACCAATATGATCAAAAGCCTTTGTGTCTGTTAGATTATCTACTCAGTGAGATCAGGGTTTATCTAAGAAAGCTGGATGAGGGTATGGTTTTTTAAAAAAATGCATAAATCATATGGGTTTGTTTAGGTAGTTTGGAATTATTATGATAGACAAGGGTCCTAAACCAAGCCTAAATTAACAGAGTCAGACTTGGGCCCTTATCAAGTTCCTGTTCATATATCTCTTCAGTTCCCTACTTTATTTAATGCAATCTGAGAAGTGTGATTCACTAGATACTGTAATGGCTAAGTGAAATGTAGTTATATAATTGTTGTTTAGGGCTGTATAAATAGTCTAATTTTGGTCCATGTCAGTTTCACATGTATTCTTTAATAAGTGTTTCATCCTGATTCTGTATCAAGTGGATTATTATTGCGGGGAGGGAATTTTTAAAAAAGTGGATTATTATTATTGTTGTTGTCATCATTATCATCATCATTATTAAACACATGTAAATATGCATTTCCCCCCACAAAATATTGTATACATTTTCCCTTAAAATACATACTTTTGTATGCATTGCATTAAAAATATTAATTTTCAATGACACCATAATACAACAAATATCACATAAAATCAAAACAAAAGGAACCTAGACAGACTAAGGATAGTAAATAAGATGAAGCAAAATACCAAGCAGGAGAGAGTAGGAGCATTACTACACAGAATTGTATAATAGTTGGCAATGCTGTGTACAGTAAGAAATTTAAGGTATAACTTCTAATAAACAGGTGATGCATTATTCATTGAGAGATTAATTTACCCCAAATGTGCACATAAACATTTTTGTACATATTCTAACCTGAAATATACATTTTACATGGTTTTTAAGTGCAGAAATGCATCACAGTTCAGAAAACTGCAAAAAATATATATGAATGTTATCTGTCTATGGGTCTATGGGCCCAAATATTGTTTACCTGCCTTTGTTCACACTTTTCCAGGGAGTCCTGGCAATGGTGAAGGTCTCTTGTGGCCACAAAGAAACTGCATTTGTTCAGAGAATAATAATTGTTTAGGTTATCTGTAAATTCATCTAATCCATTTTGGTTTTTCAGGAGAATGTGAGACTGAGTGAAGATGGCTGCTGCAAGGTGTGCGGACCTCCACGTAAGTTACGACAAAATCATTAAAATAAGCCTGCACACCAAAAAACAAACAAACCAAAAAAAACCCCCACAATGTACTAGAGCAGGGGGTGGGCAATTTGTGGTACTATCTGTGCACATCCTTATTTCATGTGGTCCATAACTTAATTTCACATGGGTGGCAAGGAGGAGAAAAATAGAGGAAAGGGTTTAGGGGAGAGAGAGAGAATGAAAAGTGTGTTAGAAAGAGAGGGAAAGCTGTGCCCCTCCCTTACCTTTGTCTCAAGCCCTACCCACTTTTGACTGTGGCCCAGTACCACCAATATGTGGTTCCAACAGATTATGCTTGAGGGGAAAAGGCCCTCTAAAAAAATTTCCACACCCCTGCAGTAGACTGTGTTTTTGCCTATATTTGCTACAGTCAGACAGGAAGTGAGCCAATAAATTATCTGTGCAGAGAGAAAGTGCTAAGATTTTCCTCTGCACCTTTGCAGCATAGGTGTGAACATCGAGACTAGTACTGTGGAACGAGAAGTCTTTGTGGTCAAATGTATAGCACAGGCTTCTTTGTCAAAACATACTAGTGGCATTAGGCTAGATCAGTACAGGAGTTTATCATGTCCTTTCCTCGCAACCTGACATTCCAGTGCGTCAAGAAGTGGGTTTTTATTATGATGGACCTACCCAGTGCTATTTTTATAGAAAAAGAGGTGCCAGAACTCAGCCTGAATGCCTCCCTTGTTCTCTTATAATGGCAATGGTGCCCACCTGAGAGGTGCCAGAACTGAGTTCCAGTGAGTTCTGGCTGGGGGGAAAAGCCCTGGACCTACAATTCCATTTTCAACAGTTTGCACATATGCACACACACACCACCTTACCCTACTCAGTCTTCTGTTAGGCAGTATTTGTGAGCACACAGTTATGATGGTTTTTGTTTTTGGTTGTCCTCCCCTCTCACAGCAGGAGATTGTATTCCAAAGAACATCACAAGTCTCATCAGACATAATGGATGTGAAGCTACTGAACCTGTCGAATTACGGTACTGCGAAGGCCACTGTGGCAGTTCTTCAATGTAAGTAGAAAAGTGGGCATTGCTGCCTCCTCCGGGGAACAACTAAAACGCTAAAACCCAATAAATAGTCCAGGGGTCATTCAGTTGAAGTCCAGGTTAGCAAGACATGGAAAATTGTGCTGGGAAGCAGAGCACTTCATTTTTGAGCTCAATTATGTACTCATTTGACAGGTGACATCAGGCAATTCACTTTCTTGTCAAAAAACAACAAAAAACAAAACTACTGTAAATACTATCTGGATAGACCTAGAGAACTATATAGAATCTTTGGAATCCCTATATCCTACTGCAGTGTTTATCACTGCAGGGGATTTTAACGCACATATGGGAGTAAACAATGTAAATTTGTACACCCATTACAATCAGATTCTGGAGCCAGATATTTTCTTAGCCAGAGGTACCTCCCGTCTGTCTAAAGATCATAGATGTAATTATTCAGAACTTTGTTTAGCCCAAGTTGTAAGGCAGAGGGACTTGTTAATATTAAATGGTTTGATAGAGGGAGATTGGCCCAGGGAAGATACCCACCTTTTCAAAGCATGGAGGCAGTGTGATAGATTATATTGTGATCTCACTATTTGCATATAAGTTTGTTATGGAGTTTGAGGTGGGCCATAATATTGAGAGTGATCGCTTACTCAAACAATGGTACTTGTACGCCCAGTATTTAAAAATTCTTCCCCAAAAACTCAATTTATCTCTAATGCAAACTTACGGTAGGTGTGACAGCAGGCAATAGAATTAAGTGGACACCAGTACTCAATCTATTCTAAATGAACCATGTCAGACTGATTGTTTCCAATACAAACAAAAGCAGAATGATGGCACTGCAGGTTGGTGTGAGTGGTGGACTAGCAGCAGCTAAAGCCGTTTTTGTTTTGTCTTAGATACTCTTCTGAGGCTAACACATTGGATTACACATGTGCATGCTGTAAGGAAACCAAAACCAGCAAGAGGCAAGTGACACTGATGTGCCCTGATCGCTCCACCATTGAATATTCATACATCCATGTTGACTCATGTGAGTGTGTGAGCAATCAATGTGATGTGAAGCCCAGCCCAACACCAGGAGAGCAAGAACAGCAGCAGCAGCAGCAGGAAGAACAGCAGCAACAGCAGCAGGAAGAGCAGCAGCAGCAGCAGCAGCAAGAAGAACAGCAGCTTGGCCAGAAATAAAAACAGGAGCCAGGACTGACCTAGACATTTTTTAAATGACCAACACCAATAATTAACAGAAGATAAATTAAAATGAATCTTGCTGTTTTGAAATAAAAAGTATCCAAGGCAGCAACTTGAACATACAGATGAATTTCTCTTCTTCTAAATCTACTCTTGGCAGAAAAGTATTTTCTTTTCTTTGGGGTGCCAAACAATTAGAAATTCTAGGTGACACTTTTCTTGGGGCCAGGCCTTTGTGAGACTACACTGTGCAGTTACAAATAACTTAGAGACGAAAGTATTTGGCATGATAAAAGATTAGGGTGGGAGACAAAAACTTCACTCTTGTGAAGTTATGGTGCCAATATTAACAAAGCATTGGTACAGACACTGGCATTTCTAATACACCCACCAAGTAGCACAAGCCAGCCATAACTTTGGAGCAGAAAGAGCTACTCATAGTGTCCAGTTCCATTACAGTTCCATTGGTCAACATGGTCTGTTCTCAATCACCTTTGCAAAAGTTAGATCTCACTTTCATAACTTGGTCAGCCTTTTTTGTATTTCCCCCCCAAGTTCCTTTTTCTACAAACTTCAACCTCTCAAAGGCTGTGGGGCTATAATACTCAGATATTATTTGTAGATCTATTTTTGTACAAAAAACTCCCCATGAAGTATGGCTGCTGCTGAAGAAGACTGTTTACATGATATCACCAGCATATTAATTGTATGAAGATCTGGATTTTTTTAAATATAAATGTTTACAAAATGAACATAAGATATATAGATATATTTGCCGAATTGTCATATGAAGAACTTTTTAAACCAAAGTAGTAAATATCAATAATATAAATTCTGTTCTAGAACAATGAATTATTTTTTAACGTTGTACCATTACTATTTATTTGTTTCTGGAAAATAGACTATTTTCTTCTGTATTAGCACCATCTGTCAAATGATGCCTGGTTGAGGGATATCTTTACCTTTTGCTGTTTTTATTTGTTTCTTAAAGAGAACAGTTTCAATGATTAATAAAATTTTAGCATTTTGCACCTGTTGTGTCATTCAATTTATTTTTTTACTACTCTGATCTGCCTTTGTGATGTACACCAATTCAATGTGTCATTCAGGTTGACCAGCAGCCACTGTTTTCCCTCAGAAATATAATGACCACAATACTGGCACAGCAGTACACGTGATCACAATTCTGCCATAGCTGTTATGCCAGACACCCATAGCTCAGATGTCAACTGGACCAGTTCGTATATTGGTCACTGCTCACCCAAATATAGCAATTTAAAAACCACTGCATTAAAAAAAGACCACACCAAAACAACTAAATATCTTTGTGAACTGATGAAGCTTGCATCTTACGCTGAAAGTTAAGAAGTTTATTTGGAGTACATACTGTCTGCTGCTGAGTTCTTGCTGATTTCCAAACATTCTGTTTATTGAGCATCCATCCTGATTTGCTTGCACAAAGTTCTCATGGAGTTTATGCAGCATTAGCATTCATTCTCATTTGTTTCTGTGGAAGTTATGAAGCATCCCAGCAAGCCATCATTATCGCACAGTTTCCAAAGCATTTTCCTTTCACTTTCCTTACTGCAAAAAGACCAACATTTTGGGGAAGCAGAATTGATGTGAAATAGTGCCAAATCCAGTAGGTGATTTAATTCTACCTGTGAAACAGTGACAGCCTTGATGTGTCCTTAGTCACAAGCAAGTTGTCTCAGGTTTAGGCAACACAGACCAGATGTCAATCCAGATACAGTTGTAGGAAGAAATGCATTAAATGTTTTAAATGTACAATTTGTTTTTAACAAACAGCTCTTGAGCTGTTCTGGTGAAAGGAGTTAGCAATACCGTCAGTGCATTGTACATATCAAGCAAATTTTTTTCAAAAGATGTTTCCATCACATGCTGGTGGAAGGGCACTAGAGGGCAGTGCATACACAATTTACCGCAGTGTCACATTTCAAAGAGAATTGTCTGAGAGCTGACCACTTTATGATTCAATTATATATTAAACTTAATAAACCAAAGTCTGATAGAAAAGGTCTACTCCAGACAGCACATATATCTTCTCAGTGTAATCCTTGGTATTGAACAGCCATTTGAGGGAGATCAGCAAAAAAACAGGGCCAAGATTTCAAAACCAATGGTTTACTAGGCAAAATAATTATATTCTAAATAGACATAATCTCATTACACTAGCAGATACCCAGAACAACTCAATTATCACCAAAGAAATTGATTTAACAGTAGTTCTAAATTGTGTTCCACATTGTAGCTGGTGTTGTGCAATGGTTGCAGTGTTGGATTAGGAGCTGGGAGACTTGGGTTCAAATTCCCACTCAGTCATGAAGCTGGGTGACCCTTGGACCAGCCACTATCTCCCAACCCAACCCAACTCACAAGGTTATGATGATAAAATGGGGGCAGAGAAAGCTGTAGAGGCTACCTTGACCTTCTTGGCAAAAAGGAAGGATGTGAATGTGGTGGGATAAAAGCTTTGTTTTTAAGCCACATTGGTCTTGTGACTGAGCACAATTGAATCTCATGCTCAAGGCTTTTGCATAAAGATTCTGCAGCTACCCATGATTTCTCATAAGCTGTGTATTCATTTTTACAGATAGGTATCTGAAACAGGCAGCAGCTCTCTGAATATTATCTGATTCCTCTTTGTGGGGGGAGAACCAACTTAATCATGGAAGTTTTAGTTCAAGTAGCACAATGGTATATGCAACAACTATGATTTACCTGTCAGCTTACTATTAACCAATTGTACTTATGCAGAGCAAACACTAGAAGGCAAAATATTACATATTATTATGGGCATGTAGATACCTATTTCCTGACACACTATGTGGATTGGAGCAAACTCATTTTTTTAAAAAAAGAAAAGTTTGTGCCCTGGTTACACTTGTACATTGGGGAAATGCAGGTGAACAGGCAGACAGTGAACCAATGGATTCAAGATATAAGAAAGGAGGTTCCATCAGGAAGAACTTTCTGTTCAACACAGGAACAGACTCACTCAGGAGGCCGTGAACTCTCCTTCCTCGGGGGTTTTTAAGCAGAGGTTGGATGGCCACCTGTCATGGATACCTTAGTTGAAATTCCTGCACTGCAGGGGGTTGGACTAGATGACCCTTGGTGCCCCTTCCAACTCTACAATTCATTGATTCTATGTGTGAGGCAACTAGTGGTAGTTTACTGCTTGCCTGTGCAAAACCCGCTCCCCTTCCACACAAACACACACACACACACACCAGCAGCACTCCTCTCCACCAGCATAGGACAACAGAGAGGTAATTGTACATCATCTTACCCCACTCATCCAGCCATCGAGGGATAAGGTTGTCCTGTAACATTCGTTATATGTAGCCTTACTCTTGTTTTGGCCTAGATTTTCTATAAAATGGAGAAGCCATCTAAAAAGAAAGAAAAAACATGCTCTCTGCAACATAAGGAAAGTGTGGGTTGATAGTACTCTATTCTCAGGAAATTAAGACAGTTAAAACCATGTGTCATGTTGTTTTTCTTTGGAAAAGAAACAGTGTGGAGCATAATCCTATGCACATTTACTCAGACGTAAGCCCCACTGGGAGCTCTTACTCTCAAGGAAATGTTTGCAGCCCCAATTTATTTTATTATTATCATTTCAATAACAAGTAACACAGCTCATAAGGTATTATTAAGGCTAGGGAAAGGAAGCAAAAATAATAACAAAAAATAACAAGGGGGAAAAACTCGTTTTCTTTGGTTTCTGGAATGAGAAATATAATAATAAGGTTGATTTTAAAGTTGCTGCTTTAAAATTCCACTGGGAGAACAGGATGCTGGACTAGAAGGGCCACTGGCTTTCTTATATGAGTGAACTCTTCTTCCAAAAGTGCAGATCAGCACTGACAAAACTAGACAGTTGTTGATCACTGCTGGCAACATTAAGATGAACACTGCCATCAAATGCACAGTCACCTGACAAGTTAACATCAGGACATGGACACAGAGCATTTCTAAGACTTGGAATGTATGAGTATGCTATATATATATGAGCACTGGCACTATCATGCTTTACTTACCATTGCAGTATTGCACAATAAAACCACATGTTTCCTTTTCATGGTGTTGCAATTTGTTTGCTTTAGCAATCAGTTTAAAAGCTACTGCTTACCCAAATGATTATTTCTCAGATTTCTTTTCCATGACATTGGAAGACTGTGTGTGACCAGCTCCTGTATCAGTATTTACATCAGTATGAAGTTTCTTGTGACATTTAATATATCTGTCAGAAAACTCATAAAAGATCTTTGTTCTAGCAGCCCCAGAAACTGAAACCATTAGGACAGACATACCCAATGTAGTGCCCTCCAGAAGTTTGGACTACAACTCCCATCAGCCCCAGCCAGCATGGACAATGGTCATGGATGATGGGCATTGTAGTCCACAACACCTGGAGGGTGCAATTCCCAGCACCCTTGACAAACTACAGGTCTCAGGATTCTTTGGGGGGAAAGCCATGGCTGTTAAAGTTGTTTAAATGGATGGTGGAGAAGTGATCCTGGATTAGGAGAAATGAAGGTGTCTACTTCAGGTAACGACCACCTAAAAGATCATCTCCCTTTTAGACACCCAAGTGATAGCTGTGCCCTGCAGAAGAGAGCTTTCTGCAGATACCATCTTATTGAGAAGTCTGTTTCGTATGATAGAGAAAATGGTCCTTTTCTATGGTGGCAGCTACCCTTTAGAATTCCCTCCTGTCAGATATTCGGCAACAACTTAGAACCACCTGTAAGTAAGAGATATAACTAATATGAGAGCAAAATATCTGTAAATATAATGAGATTTGACACCACTTGTATTATTGCAGAAAATTATGCTGTGGTTTTTTTTAAAAAAAGGTTGGTTAATAACATGCCTTTTAATAAACTGATCAATTCATTAATAGATTAAATTTGTACATTACCAAGACTTTAAGAGAGGTGTCTTTTTGAGGTATTGTTGGTAGTTACTACTAATTAAATGAAAATTGTTGCTAATCTTTGTCAGAAGAAAGGGCCCATTGTGACAATGTTTTATTTTTATTAGGTATCACAGTTAATGGTCAGAACTACTATAGCTGGAACAACAGATGTGTGCTCTGAATGTTCACCCCCACCCATTAAAATTTGACTTTGCCAGTTAATTGCCTCCTGTTTTTTAATTAAACTTTATTATTTAATTAAACTTTATTATTTCGTGCTATTAGTATGTAAAAAAAATCAACAACATCAATATTTAAAGAATCGACCAATTAGACCAATTAAAAATTGAAACCCTACTTAAAATAACCCTGAATTACCTTCCCCAAGGATATCACATTGCTTACAATTATAGGACAGCAGTGCCATGTAGCCATCCAAAACCTATTCCCTGGCACCCAGTCCACAATCTATTGCTAGGTACTACATATTACTTAACAAAAGAGACCATTCATGTAATACAAAGTGCTCAGTTCCAACTTTGTTGTTTCTACCTGTTGCTCTTTTTACTGGGAGGGCTGACAAAAGCACCTTCATTAGCTGCAAAGTGTTACCGGGATCCTCCTGGAGACTGCCACACCCCCCCCATATTTTACGGAGTTTTGCTACTATATAGGCATTGACTCAGTACAGCTCTCCTTTTTCCAGCAGTCTGTCACTAAGAGCTGGTTTACATTGAATATGCTTCCTGTGATACCAGCAGAGGCCGCCATTGTGGCATTGCCCACCTGGCTTCTTAATACTGCGCATTGTGGCCAATTACAGGGAGCCTGACGCAGTGCAGGTGCAGCAGCAGGAGCAGTGGGTTGTCTCTAAGCCCCCACACCACACTGAGCTGCCTGCTACTTCACCCCTCTTCCTCTTCGTAACTGGCAGTGACTCACAGTGAAAAAGGATGGCTCACCCACACTGCCCCATCAGCCATACCCCACAAGTGTCCTGGAAAAAACCGAGGCACCCTGTCTCCCCTCCCCCCGCTAGAGAACAATGGTAATTTTGGGCAACGTGATCTCCGTACCCTCCAA